GTAGACGATTTCCACAGTGACACTTAGACTTTTCATCACCAAGACAACTTTGGTAGAACTAACAAATGACAACGCACCTGAGATAAACTGACAATGTCAAAGAGATAACCTCAATGCAATCAAGCTGCAAAATTAATATGTTAGTATTCACAATAATATGTTACCATGTCCATTTCAGCATAGTTTTCTTGAGACGCAGATAATTCAGTTGACTGAACAAAAGTGATATTAATGACAATTGAAATTAGAAACAGCTTGAGATGTAGCATCTTAGAGCAGAGTGTGCAGTGTACTTAATTATACTGATGTAAATAAGCAACAACATCTTGAATGCCAAATGAACACTATATTGGAGTGGGCAGAATAATGCTTGAATGGCCACAGAGTTGTGGGTGAAACTAATTTAAAAAGTTAACCGCAGCACTTTGGTGGAAAATGACCACAGGCCAGCCAACACTGTGCAATACTGAAGAATGTCATTTTAGCATGTTGTGACCAGGCATATGTCTTACCATCACAGGGAACACAGATTCATGTGTTAGTGTGTAAACAAAGAAGGAACCAAACTTGAGCTCCTGAGAAGTGCAACCTTCTGATCCTCAAATCAAGACAAGGTAAGGGTTGTTTTTTATTGTTACTGTAGGGCTCAGAAATCGCCTTTTAAAATGTGATTGTGATTAACTGTTGAAAATCACTAAATCAGGATTATGGAAAGTAACCCTTTGAGAGCCCTCCTACTGAATCATCTATAATTTGCCTATTTGCAACTGTTCTTATTACAACAATGACAAAATGTATCAAAAAAGACAACGCTATTAGTTGGAGGCACATATATCAAGATTTCTTTAAATATTATTGCCTATAATGGAGGAGGTAAATGATCAAAACAATTTAACTGTAGATCAAGTCCTCATGATATGGCAGCAGATTTATGATCATTTTCTTTTCTCTGAGCTTGGCTCATAAAGTCCTGTATTGTAAAAAATGTGAATAACTTGGGAGAAAAGAAGAAAATGATCAAATACAAAGCTTCTCTCTATTTTTAGATACTAAATATTTCCAATGAGATACTCAGAGCCACAGAGGTTTCTTAGTCTTTCTTATTGCTTATGATGTACTTGGCCATTCAGGGTTTTAAGCGTGAAAGAAGATCAGAACAATAATGTGTTGTGATCTGTCTCTGCCTTTTTTTCCCTTTCATTTTTTTCCTTTTCTCGTTGTTTTCCTGTTTTTACTTTGTAAAGTACTTTGGTCAATACCGGTTATTTATAAAAGTGCTGAATTGACTTGCATGCATCAGTGGTTCCACATACTGCCACACTTCACTGTTCCTCACTTAAGTTGACTTTGATTCCTACATTACACAGTCTTTGATTCAGACTTCTTAAGTTTGATTTGTTGAGATAATATTAAGGCAGAATCCAATTAGTGTAAGGCTAAATGGTTTCCCTACTGTTAATTTCTTTGCAGGGGCTCAGTGGGTAGTGCTGTAGCCTGACAGCCAAAGCAAGAAAGTCCTGGATCATGGGCCAGCTGCTCTCTCCATCAGTCTCTTGCTTGCTCTGCTTTCCCCTCCCACAGTCCAAAGACATGCAGATCAGGTGAACTAGAAGATTAAATTTGCCTGCGTTTGCTTGGTGTTAATCCGATGATGGACTGGTGACCTGCTTCTCTACCATTTGTGCATGCAGGGAGAGTCTTCATCCCTCTGCGACTCTGGGCAGAAATAAGTATGTATAGAAGATGGATGTGCGAAAGCTCACAGCCACCTTTTTCAAGGTTATTTAACAATTTCTCCATTATTTGGTCAATAGACTCCCAGGATTATCTACAACCCTCCTGTGCATACCAGGAGTCACAAAAATGTTGTTGATTTTGGCTGGCTGACTACTTTCTTTCCATCCCTGTTGCTGCTGCTTTGTCATTGCTAAAAGGTTTCCAAACACTGCCAAACAGTCAATATATATCCAGCGTGTGGCTGCTGATGAAGGTTTAACCCTGCAGATGACATTCAGTACAGTGCCATAATCATTGCCTCCTAATGAATTAAATAGCCCTGACATTTCACAGCACAACGCTTGTCCTTTTCCTGCAACTGCTCCTCTGTTATACTCCTCCTTTCATGCATTCTGTCGCTCACTTGTTCTTGTGCTTTCCCTTCCACCGCTCTCCAGTGTGCCTTCTGGCCTCTCACCATGCACCCCCATCCCCACCTCTCTATCCTTCATTTCTATATCCCTTACTCCCTCTGTTATTCCTTCTATTGCCTCTTCTTCTTCTCACTTGTCCGCTCATCGGTATGCTACTGCATGCCCAGCTGTCTATGCAGGCAGAGCTGAGAGAGATAGAAAGAGAGGGTGGTAGAGGGAGGGGGAGGTAAAGAGGTAGAGAGTCACAGTTTAGCAGCAGAGACAGAATCCAGCTGGGGGGTCATGACCCCAAATGACCATACACACACACACACACACACAGACACACTCGATAAGTTATACACCCACACTTCCCTGATGGCAAGAGCAAGAGGTCATATGCCAACAATGAAAGAAGAAAGAGAAGGAGTGAAAGAGGGAGAGAGAGAGAGAGAATGAGAGAGCAGGATCTAGAGATAAGGTGGAGGTGTGTTTGTTGCTTGCTGAGCCATAATTGTCCTGTGGTCTGCTGGGAAGGATGGCAAAGAAGGGTAGAGACAAAGAAAAAAGTGGCAATAGAAGGGACATGGCCTGTAGCAGAGGAGTCCTTTTTCAACACTGTCAGAAAGTTTGTTTTGCTCTGGAATACAGATGAGGGCAGGATGGATGACTGCCTGGCTGCACTGATGTGGGACAGACAGAGAGACGGATAGACTCACATGTACGCTTAAACAGATCCTCTGTTGCATAAAGGTATGTTTAAGAAACATGTACACAAAAATATAAAGTCAAATAGATTTAAAAAAAGTGTGATTATAACAGACTTCTTACAGTGGCACAGTGATAAATTTAAAAAAAATTGTCATCAGTGTTTGCACCGGTCAGAGGTGACTATTTTCTTTTAAAAGACTGAAAGGACTGAACTTTAAATTGAATGCAGTGATTATTTTCTTCATTGAGAGTATATCTAACAACGATATAAACAAAATAAGGAGACACAAAGCTGAGGATCTCTTTCACATCTAGTCTTTCAGGTCATTTTTTAAAAGCTGAAATACGAGGAGAAGAAGCTTACAGGATTTGTGAAAGAACCGTGTTCAATCAAGACAAAGTAGTTTTCATTAACAAATACAAGATATAAGGTTTTTATGAGATGCTCAGAAATTTTAATCGGAACACCATAAATCTTGATATGGCCATTTGGCTAGTAGAGTGACCTTCTTCAGTTTTATGTTTTATTCAGATGATACATAAAATTTAGCCTGTATTACTTTGCAAGGACTCTTGCAGTGTAAACAGTTAACTTCTTTCCAGCATTTTCATTTCTTTATGCTCTTTTGACAGATGGATAATTTATTCACTGTAGAACTTTTATGTAACAAACCAATAAGCATTAGATATGGTTCATCTCTTCTACTCCAGTCATATATCCAGCAGCCCTTTTGTGGTTACACACAAACACATATACATGTTCTCTCTTATCCCTCAGTCTGTCTCATCAAATTAATTCTAGCAGTTTTTTCTTGTGGGACTAAAAGGAAATTATGTCGGCTCTGATCATGGCTGTGATCATGATGAAAGATCTACTGTAAATAGCATCATCTTGGTTTACACGGGAGAACTTTAATGTCTGTTAAAAATACATAAATAATAAAAAGTTCAAAGCCTCTTGTCAGAACTTGAATATTTATCTTGATGCTGTGAGGTTTTTGATTAGACGAGATTTCCCGCTGCCCATGATTATTGAGACAATAGGGGACTTGATGTCTTTAGATTTTGATGTTTATCCCCTGAACAAAATATTCCTGTCAACAAAGTCAGAGGGGAGAATTTTACAACAAGGGTTACCTCGTTATATGATTTTATAGAGAGCAGAGCTGTTCGCTGTTTCTTGGATATTCATAAATTTGTTCCAATTCTGGCCACTCTGGCACGGGTTGGCTTCCTGGTTCCATAAGACGTAAATGTAAGGGATGAGAGATGACAGGGTTGATAAGAAAGTGTTTATTTGTAGTAAATTAAATGGTTCGGCATAGGCTAAAGAAATATGCACAGTATTTGAAGAAGTTAGACTACAATATATACAGTTGAAACCAGAAGTTTACATACACTATATAAAAAGGCACATAACCCTTTTTTCCCTCACTGTCTAACATTAAATCAGATTAAACTTTTCCTGTTTTTGGTCAATTAGGATAACCAAAATTATTTTTATATGCTAAATGCCAAAATAATGAGAGAGAGAATTTTTTTGACAATTTTTTTTATTATTTTCTTGAGAAACTTGGCTCAGTTACACCAGTTCTGTCAGGAGAAATGGGCCAAAGTTCCTGCAAAAGTCATACCACTAAAAGGCAGCCACCAAATACTAATGAAATGTATGTAAACTTTTGACTCTCGAGAAAGTAATAAAAAAAGTGTCTAAAAAATTCTTTCTCTCATTATTTTGGCATTTAGCATGTAAAAATAATTTTGACAATCCTATTAGTCCAAAAACAGGAAAATTTTAATCTGATTCAATGTTAGACGGTGAGAAAAAAAAAATAAAAAGATTCTACACCTTTTTATACAGTGTATGTAAACTTCTGGTTTCAACTGTGTATATATTAATAATTTAACCTGCTCAATAACTTCAATTAGAGAGAAGTTATTTGCTTGGTTTGAGACAAAATGGTCAAATGATATTTTGTTAAAGCCCAAATTATTGACATACATCCAAATTAAGCACAGTTACGGCCCTGAACCTTATGTTAAAGCAAACCTCTCAAGAAATCAAAGGTCTTTAAAGGCACAGCTGAAAACAGGAATCCTTCCCTTGAATTTTCAAGTTGGCAGACTTAAAAACATTCCTGAAGATAAAAAGATTGTGTGAATGTAACCCAGGTGACAAATGCATAATAAGAAAGTACAATAAATAGTGATAAAAAGCATAAATAGTAAAAAGGGATAATAAACAGGTGTAATTCTGATGAAACAATTCATGAATGATGGGTTGTCATTGTTAAAAACATGATTTACATGTATTTGATATAGCAGTACTTTTACTGTGACTCTTACGTATGTGTGCTTTTATTTTGACGTGCGTTTTCCAGGCATACGGTTTCCTGTGGAGCCGTTCTGTCTTTTGAGCTAGCGGGAGCCAGAGAGCAGAAGCATCCATTTTCCTCGGAGATAGAAACTATTGAAAGAAAGTAATTCTAAGTTGTTTTGAACTATAAGTTTCCTTTTTGGAGTATTGAGTGACCAGCGCTGTATGTTGCTGTATGTTTTGAAGACCAGAAGCTTTGTTTCATCGAATGTTTTTCTTTTTGTTTGAATCGTCTCGGTAAGAGAACTTTTCTATCTTTCTGCTGAACTGCTGAAACCTAAGTCTTATGATGTTTATCACTGCTAAATACTTCAGTGAAACCTAAGAATTGTATTTTGTTTGTTAATACGTGTTGTAATGATTCTGAAAGTGTATTTTGGTTGAAATAAGTAGCTTTAAGCTCGGTATGAGCTGAACGTATTGCACATGCAGTGATCTCGCACTCAGCGCGTGAGAGGTGAGAGAGCTGAACGTGTTTTCATGATAGCCGCTGTACTCGGTAATGTTGTGCAAGGTTACCGCGATTTCAGTATATTTCATAGTATTCATCCTGTTTACTTGATAATGGTAATTTAACTGAATGGTATGCAATGCTTTTCAGTATGAACAAAGTGTATGCAGTTTGCATAGCTTTTCTTTTGAGAATATTGATTTAAATGTTGTACAACTACTTGAAATTGAAACTGTTTGATATGTGATAGAAAACTGAAACTGAAAGTTGCCTGAATGTGTAGCTTAACTTAGGGTATGGTTACACAGGTCAAGTTTTTGAGCTGGATCTGGATTTCGCTGAGGATTCGTCGACTACATCTGATGGCGAGCCAACCCAACCATTGAGTGTGATCCTGTTCTATGTCATTGCACATGGCATATCTGGTAGGATTGTGGCCTACTAGAGTCACATCATACTGACTATGACTGACTTGACTTATTGACTACTTGAATTGACACTTTACAACTGAACCAAGGATTGAACTGTTCTGAACTGAACCAACTGAACTACTTGAAAGGAACTACTTGAAAGGAACTATTTTTTCTTTTTGAACAACAACTTAAAGGAACTCTTTATTTTTCCACTTTTGGATAAAGGACTATTTTCTCAATCTTTTTGAAGGACAATTTACTTTTTATTTTATTTAAAAAGGTCTAAATTTCATTTGTAAACAGTTCTAACTTTTCAATTCATTACTAAAAGAAGAAAAACCTTATATCCTTGTGTGGTGTCTTTTAATTGCACTTGTCTTGCAGAGCTTAGTGTCTCTTGTTTTCTAGTTATTAGAAACTGGTCCAACAGTGACGTGTACATACTCAGTAGTGGGTTACACGGTAAAACTTGGCGAGCCAGCCAGGAGTGTTTATTTTAAGTGCAATCGCCACAATTTTTTGTATTTTTTCTCTTTTTGACTATTGCCTTTAAGTGTTGTGTTTTGTTTTGATTACAATGGAAATTGTTACACTAGCTAGTGTGAAAGTGCCTAACTCTCTTCTTATAAGGGGTTTAACAGAAACTGAGGTTGACAATGAGGTTTTTGAATATTTGAAGCAATATGGTAAAATTTCCAGAATAATCAAAGTGCCTGATGCTAGCGACCAAGTCGTTCTTGAATTTGAATCTGGATTAGCTGTTGAAACACTCCAAGGTTCTTTGCCTTTTGACAGAGTTTGTGACGGTGACACTGACATTGTTCACCATGTTGATGCTCTTGCAAATGTGTACTCATCAGAGAAAGGTACAGGTTTAACAGAGTCATTCCTAACTCAGCTTAAAGGACATTGCCAAACTTAGTGGGAAATCGTTTGAAACACTCTTACAAGATGAGTTAGCCAGAATCTCTAACCTTGTTGGCCAGACAAAGCCAGCAGCTGAAAACGTTAAAGATACAGAGCTAATTGACTTAGGTGATAAACCAACAGCACAGACTCCCTCTTGTACTGAACCCGAAAATGCACACACTCTAGAGCCCACTAGAACTATTACCCCTGACATAAGCCGACCTGACTCACTTCCGCAACTGAAGCCAGCGCCTGATCACCTGAACCCGCCTGAGATGCAACGGTTCATTGTTGAGCATGTAGTGAAGAGCTCCGACCTTCGTTCAGACCTACACTCAGTGAAGCTGAGGACTTTTTCGGGCAGAGTTCCATGTCCAAGCACTGAGGTTGATTACGACACATGGCGAAACAATGTGGAGTTTTACATAGCTGATCCGTCTGTCCCTAAAGGACAACTTGTGAGGAAGATTGTTGACAGTCTTTTAACCCCAGCTGCTACAGTAGTGAAGTCATTAGGTCCTTATTGTCCCCCAAGAGCTTATCTTGACCTGCTCGATTCTGCTTATGGCATAGTGAAAGATGGAGACGATCTGTTTGCAGAGTTTCTTAACATCAACCAGAACTCCGGTGAGAAGCCATCCGGTTATCTTCATCGTCTTCAGACCGCTCTGAACAAGATTGTGAAGGTGAAAGCCATATCACCAACTGATTCAGACAGACAGCTTCTGAAACAATTCTGCAGAGGCTGTTGGAATAATACTTTGATCAGCACACTTCAGCTTGAAAAGCGAAAGGAGCAGCCCCCCACCTTTACAGAGCTGCTGTTGCTCCTGCGCATGGAAGAAGATAAACAAACAGCCAAAGCGAACAGAATGAAACAGCATCTCGGTTTCACAAAGACCAAAGTCCAAGTTCAAGCTCAAGCACAGAACCTGTATGAACCTAACAACGAGTATAACTTACCATGTCCATCTGAAACTCCTCCATCAGCGATGAATCAGCTTCAAAAGCAGATAGCTGACCTCCAAGCTCAGATTGCAGCGCTTTCCTACCCCAAAGACAAACCGCCAAATAAACCCCAAGCTGGAAAGAAAAAGCAGAAACCTACACCAAAAGAACAAGCCAGTGCTGAAGCACAAGCACAAAAACCAGACACCACGCCGAAAAAGCCCAGACCGTGGTATTGTTTCCAATGTGGTGAGGATGGGCATATAGCAACCAGCTGCACTGATACACCAAACCCTGCACTAGTTAACGCAAAGAGAAAAGAGCTGAAAGAAAGACAGACAGCGTGGAAAAAAGCAAACCCTGTTGTTGAAAGTTCTTTAAACAAGTAACTGTTTCTATTGAGGGACAAATAGGAACAGAGTTGACAAACAGTCCCACCACGACACAGAAAGTCAAGGAAAAAGTGACACTTAACGAACACAGAGCTGTAAGAACAGGAGAACTGCCTAGAGGCCTAGTAGGAAAAAAGAGCACAGCAAATGTGAAAGTGAATGGAATTGAATGTAACTCACTGCTTGACACTGGGTCACAAGTTACGACTGTGTCTCAGTCTTACTATGATTCACACCTCTCTGATCACCCGATACGCCCAGTGAGTGACATACTGGACGTTGAAGGTGCAAACGGCCAGGCAGTCCCCTACCTAGGCTACATACAGTTAAGTATGCAGTTCCCTAAAGAATTTATGGCTTCACAACCTGAAGTACAGACTCTTGCCCTGATAGTACCAGACACTCGCTCCAACAGTAGCGTGCCTGTGCTAATTGGTACGAATACTCTAGACCCCCTCTATGAACAGTTCTGTGATGAAAGTCCTCTGGTAAGCAACACATACTGTGGCTACCAACAAGTCCTGAAAACCCTGCAGCTCAGACGAAAACAAAACTCAGAGGGTCAGATTGGTGTTGTGAAGTTAAGTCGTCATGAACCAGGTATTGTCCCTGCCGGACGGAAGGTTGTCTTGGAAGGCTTTGTTTTTGGAAGTGAAGCGAACAACGAGAGATGGGCAGTACTTGAAGAGCCCTCTATCTCGTCCTTGCCAGGGGGAATCTTTATTGACAGCTGCTTGATCTCTATTCCGGCACGTTCCCCGTACAAGGTGCCAGTTTTGCTGCGAAATGAAACCAGCCATGACATCGTCTTGCCAAGTAACTCTGTCATTGCAGAACTCGCTATACCTCATGAGATCAGCCAGACTCACAACACCTGTAGCCCCAGTCAATTGCCCCTGTCATCCACTGTCTGCTCCAGTCAGCAACATTCCTGTCATGAAGAGCAGCAGAATGCCAGCCTGAGTTTTGAATTCGGAAATTCTCCACTTCCTGCAAAATGGAAGGAACGAATAACACAGACACTGAACACCTACTCTGATGTGTTTTCCCATCATGACCTCGATTTTGGTCACGCGACGAAAGTCAAACATCGTATCAAACTGAAGGATGAGACGCCATTTAAGCATCGACCCCGTCCTATCCATCCTAAGGATTACGACGCTGTGAGACGACATCTTCAAACCCTTCTTGAAGCGGGTATCATCCGTGAATCAGAATCCCCATATGCTTCACCTATAGTCGTAGTGAAAAAGAAGAATGGCGACCCACGCCTATGTGTCGACTATAGGAGATTGAATATGCAAACGATCAAAGACGCTTATGCATTACCGAACCTTGAAGAGTCATTTTCTGCGTTAAGCGGATCACAGTGGTTTTCCGTGATGGATCTGAAATCCGGATATTACCAGATTGAGATGCACGAAGATGACAAACCAAAAACTGCTTTTGTATGTCCCCTCGGATTTTGGGAGTGGAATCGTATGCCACAAGGAATCACGAATGCTCCAAGCACGTTCCAGCGCTTAATGGAGAAGTGCATGGGCGATATCCATCTGCGTGAAGTGCTAGTATTCCTTGACGACATCATAGTCTTCTCCCAAACGCTGGAGGAACATGAGGCTCGTCTAACCAAAGTCCTGGATCGACTGAGGGAGAATGGCCTCAAGTTATCTCCAGAGAAATGCCGCTTCTTTCAAACATCTGTACGTTATTTGGGACACATTGTCTCACAGAAAGGAGTGGAGACCGATCCCCAGAAGATCGAAGCACTCAAGACTTGGCCGAGACCCCGTACCTTGAAAGAACTCCGTTCTTTTCTCGGTTTCTCTGGTTATTACCGGAGGTTTGTGCAGGATTATTCAAAAATAGTCAAACCGCTGACTAAGCTAACTGCGGGATATCCACCAGCACGAAAGTCCGCCCAGAAAACCAAGACTGACGTGATGTACTTCCATCCGAAGGAGCCATTCGGAGAGAGATGGACACCAGCTTGTCAGATTGCCTTCGAACTAATAATTGAAAGACTCACCTCATCGCCAGTCCTGGGTTTTGCTAATCCAGAGTTACCATACGTCTTGCATACAGATGCAAGCACTACGGGACTCGGAGCTGCCCTGTATCAAGAACAGGATGGACAGAAGCGCGTAATAGCTTACGCCAGCCGTGGCCTGTCACAAAGTGAAGCAAGATACCCAGCGCATAAGTTGGAATTTTTAGCCTTAAAATGGGCTGTCGTTGAAAAATTTCAAGACTACTTATATGGGCATTCATTCACTGTTGTGACTGACAACAATCCGCTTCGGTACATTCTTACCACGGCAAAGCTAGACGCGACCAGCTATCGTTGGCTAGCTGCCCTGTCCACCTTCTCTTTTGACATCCAGTATCGTGCGGGCAAGCAAAACCAAGACGCTGATGGTCTGTCAAGGAGGCCTCACGGACCACTGGTGAATGACAACTGCTCACAAGAGGAGAGTCTGCGGATCCATCAATTCACCTCCCACCATCTAACTCCTGTGGACGTTGTCAAGGCCACCTGTCAGTACCATGCAGTAGTGAATGAGGAGTCTTCGTCTCATTGTCTCGTGGAGTCACTCGCTATCCACCCTGATGCCATTCCGCCCGTGTTTGAGGATGCAGAGTCAGAGTTGCAAGGCCTCTGCTCTGTTCCACAGCACAGCGAGGGTGATATAGCCAGACTACAACGAGAAGATCCCTCAATCAGCGTGATCATCAAGGCACTTGAATCTGGTGAGCCTGCACCTCAACAGGGCGTACAGTCACCAGAGCTGATGCTTATGCTGAGAGAGATGAGCCGCCTTGAAGTCAAGAATTCACTGTTGTACCGAAAGCGACAGTGTGAAGACAGGACAGAGTACCAACTTGTTCTTCCACGTGTTTTGAGGTCATCCGTACTTACCAGTCTCCATGATGAGATGGGTCATCTCGGTATCGAGCGCACCCTTGAGCTGGCCAGGTCCAGGTTTTATTGGCCGAAGATGTCAGCAGATGTTGAGTCCAAGGTCAAAACCTGCCCGAGGTGTGTCAAACGCAAACATCAGCCAGAGAAGGCCGCGCCGATGGTCAGTATCCAAACCAGCCGACCCATGGAACTGGTCTGTATGGACTTCTTGTCCCTCGAACCGGACAGCCACAACACAAAGGACATACTGGTAATTACTGACCATTTCACAAAGTATGCTGTAGCGATACCCACGAAAGACCAAAAGGCCATCACTGTCGCGCGTTGCCTGTGGGAGCAATTCTTCATCCATTATGGCTTCCCAGAGCGCCTACACAGCGATCAAGGCCGTGACTTTGAGTCACAAATTGTCAAAGAGCTCTGTGCCTTAGTTGGTACAAAGAAAGTCAGAACAAGTCCCTATCACCCCAGAGGTAACCCTGTAGAGCGCTACAATCGTACTCTGCTGAGTATGTTGGGTACTCTGAGGGAGAAAGAAAAGACCAGATGGCGCGAGTATGTCAAGCCATTAACACACGCATACAACTGTACTCGGAATGAGGTGACTGGGTATTCTCCGTATGAGCTCATGTTTGGGCGCCAGCCCAGATTGCCCATCGACATAGCTTTTGGGTTGCCAGTCAAAGGAGCCTCATCCACGTCACACTGTCAGTACGTGAAAAATCTGAAGTCCTACTTGAAGGAAAGCTACAACATTGCCATTAAAAATGCAAAGAAAGTAGCTGACAAGAACAAAAAGAGGTTTGATATGAGAGTGAGAGAGTCATGTCTGGAAGTAGGCGATCGAGTTCTTGTACGTAACCTCAGACTTCGCACCAAGCATAAACTTGCTGATCGATGGGAGCCCACTGTGTATGTTGTACAGAAGAGAGCAGGAGAGTTGCCAGTATACACGGTGTGTCCTGCTGGTCAGGACGGACCCACCCGTACTCTACACAGGGATCTCCTATTGCCCTGCGGGTTTCTTGCTGAAGAAGACGCAGAGCCTGAACAGCCTGTACGAGTCTCTAGACCCAGAACCAGACAAAGTACTCAGCCAGCTGAAAACCCTGACGAGTCTGATGAAGAGGACTATCCGCTGTCATATCCTCTACGTTTTGAGGTAGAGACAAGAATCATTGGTCCTGAAGTGATGCATTCAACTGGAGGAGCTCCAGATGTTGCACAGCTTGGAAATGAATCAAGTCCTCCGACTCATTCTCAAACTATACCTGAAAACTTACTTGAAATTACTCCTGAAGTTCAATGCTCTGATATCCCAAGTTCTCCTATTGCAGAAGAAGAACCCAGCCTTATTCAGTTTCCACCTGATGATTCAGTTGATGTAGAGCCTGTAGAAAAAGAATTGCCTTCGAACCAGAGCAACACGAATGCAGAACCTGAGTCATCCATTGAACCTGAAGAAACAAAACAAACAGAGAATGATCAAGAAGAAGAACCAATCACTTTAAGTGAGCCGACAACTAACATTTCTCAAGAGCAGAATGACACTGTAGAATCAGAAGTTGTTCAACATGAAAAGACTGACACTGAAACCCCATTACTGACTGTATCTGACTTGCCAGTTGTTCCCAACACTGACACACCCTGTCCTACAGAGTCAAGTCCTGTAGAGAGTCCAGATACTGTTAGTGAGCCAGATCATGACGCATTGCGTAGATCTGAACGTCAGAGAAGAGCACCCGCAAAGTTTACCTATCCCCAATTAGGCAAACCATTTATTTCTTTTGCCCACAGTATTCTTGAAGCTTTCAACAATGCTTTAGTTGAAACGTTTGAGGGTAACCCTTTCCCACGGGAAAATGTCATGAAGGGACTCATGCCAGTTTAGAGAGGGAGGGTGTAACCCAGGTGACAAATGCATAATAAGAAAGTACAATAAATAGTGATAAAAAGCATAAATAGTAAAAAGGGATAATAAACAGGTGTAATTCTGATGAAACAATTCATGAATGATGGGTTGTCATTGTTAAAAACATGATTTACATGTATTTGATATAGCAGTACTTTTACTGTGACTCTTACGTATGTGTGCTTTTATTTTGACGTGCGTTTTCCAGGCATACGGTTTCCTGTGGAGCCGTTCTGTCTTTTGAGCTAGCGGGAGCCAGAGAGCAGAAGCATCCATTTTCCTCGGAGATAGAAACTATTGAAAGAAAGTAATTCTAAGTTGTTTTGAACTATAAGTTTCCTTTTTGGAGTATTGAGTGACCAGCGCTGTATGTTGCTGTATGTTTTGAAGACCAGAAGCTTTGTTTCATCGAATGTTTTTCTTTTTGTTTGAATCGTCTCGGTAAGAGAACTTTTCTATCTTTCTGCTGAACTGCTGAAACCTAAGTCTTATGATGTTTATCACTGCTAAATACTTCAGTGAAACCTAAGAATTGTATTTTGTTTGTTAATACGTGTTGTAATGATTCTGAAAGTGTATTTTGGTTGAAATAAGTAGCTTTAAGCTCGGTATGAGCTGAACGTATTGCACATGCAGTGATCTCGCACTCAGCGCGTGAGAGGTGAGAGAGCTGAACGTGTTTTCATGATAGCCGCTGTACTCGGTAATGTTGTGCAAGGTTACCGCGATTTCAGTATATTTCATAGTATTCATCCTGTTTACTTGATAATGGTAATTTAACTGAATGGTATGCAATGCTTTTCAGTATGAACAAAGTGTATGCAGTTTGCATAGCTTTTCTTTTGAGAATATTGATTTAAATGTTGTACAACTACTTGAAATTGAAACTGTTTGATATGTGATAGAAAACTGAAACTGAAAGTTGCCTGAATGTGTAGCTTAACTTAGGGTATGGTTACACAGGTCAAGTTTTTGAGCTGGATCTGGATTTCGCTGAGGATTCGTCGACTACATCTGATGGCGAGCCAACCCAACCATTGAGTGTGATCCTGTTCTATGTCATTGCACATGGCATATCTGGTAGGATTGTGGCCTACTAGAGTCACATCATACTGACTATGACTGACTTGACTTATTGACTACTTGAATTGACACTTTACAACTGAACCAAGGATTGAACTGTTCTGAACTGAACCAACTGAACTACTTGAAAGGAACTACTTGAAAGGAACTATTTTTTCTTTTTGAACAACAACTTAAAGGAACTCTTTATTTTTCCACTTTTGGATAAAGGACTATTTTCTCAATCTTTTTGAAGGACAATTTACTTTTTATTTTATTTAAAAAGGTCTAAATTTCATTTGTAAACAGTTCTAACTTTTCAATTCATTACTAAAAGAAGAAAAACCTTATATCCTTGTGTGGTGTCTTTTAATTGCACTTGTCTTGCAGAGCTTAGTGTCTCTTGTTTTCTAGTTATTAGAAACTGGTCCAACAGTGACGTGTACATACTCAGTAGTGGGTTACATGAACTATGTGAACTCGATGAAGTGGAAAGTGAGTCACATTTTCTGTTATATTGCCCTTTGTGTGATGAACTGAGAACTCCATTATTTACTGCAATGTCTCTTAGAAACCCAGAATGAACTGGCTGTTTAACTTCAATGTCGTTAGCTCATTTTGTTTCTGGGGAGAGTGGGGTAAGTTGAGCCACCCCCTGTTGCTTGGAAATGGTAAAAGAATTTGATCATATGACCAAATATTTAGGAGATGGGCATCAATTCATGGAGTCTGTGAAGGTTAGGAGTTCATAGGTAAAGGGGTTAGACAGTGATCTCCCCCCCAGACCCCCCATTTTTTACTTTTGAAAGTACATTAAGTCTGTCATAAGTTTTATTAGAATTGAATTCAGACGAAAAAATATCATTTTAACTTTGTTTTACACATTAATTGTGTTATCTACGAGCTACAACATGAGGTCAAAAACCTAGCATAAATGCCCACCATTTTAGCTTAGAGGACTAATATTTTGTTTCTGAAACTTGAAAAAAACAAAAACTTTAGGATTGTTTAGATGCTTAAATGGTTCAATGTCTCTTTTCTAGTTTTCATCTGCTATTATATGTTCCTTTCCTTTTGGTGTCTTGTAAGCCCACTCGGGCTGGGCACTTCCTGTGCATGACACGTTCATACAAGTGTCAATCAATCAATCAAATCTATGAACCGGAGCAGTGCTCTGATATGAACCAGAATCGTCAGTTGCACAGATATCGCGAGAGAGTGGTTCGTTACCATAGCGACGACAGTTAAACACAACCCCCGCGGCTCCGAGTAGCACGGAGACTGGGACATGCTCCCAACGAAAACATGAGATATTGAATCACTAAATGTTGTTTCCAAAACATTTCTTTATAATTTAAGGACCATAAGAGTGTTGAATGAAAACCTGAAACGTTTAGTGTGCAGTTGAAGGTCTTTAAACTACGGACAGTCACTGAAAACCTAAGGTGAGTTAACAGTTTTCGGTAGTGTAGCTGCCGAGTAAGATACTGAAACTTCACGTAGGGTAGCAGCATACATTCACTCATTTCACTTTAAGTGGCGTCTGACGTCCCTCGTTTCTCATCTCGTGAATTCTGCGGAGTTATTGTAGTTTAGATGAACGTCAGTATTGGATGACGTTAGCTTAGCAGGTCGTAATAGCAGTTAGTGGTGAGTAGCACCATATGAAGGGTCTTTACATAAGTCCTCGTGCAGCAGTGAAATAATGGCAGGCTACAGCAGCAAGAGGAATAAAGCCTGCACATTTACAGATGATGTACAATTCTAAACATTTAAACCTACCGAAGCAAAAAAGTTGTGGCTTCTTCCAATAGGGGAGAGTGGGGTAAGTTGAGCCAGAGGTTAAGTTGAGCCATCTACTTGGAAATGCTACTACTTGGAAATGGTCAAAGAAATTGATCATGTGACCAAATATTTAGGAGATGGGCATCAATTCATGCAGTCTGTGAGGGTAAAAAGCACATGGGTGAAGGGGTTAGACATTTATTTAAAGATAAAAAATAAAAAAAAGATAAATTAGAAAAAAAATCACTCTTGAAAGTGAGTTTAGTCTGTCATAACTTTTATTAGAATTGTGTTCAGACCAAAAAAGATCATTTTAAATTTGTTTGCGGCATCAATTGTGGTATCTATGAGCTACAACATGAGGTCAAAACCTAGCATAAAAGTCCACAGTTTTAGCTTAGAGCAGTGGTTCTCAAGTCCAGTCCATGCAGGCCCACTGTCCTGCATGTTTTGGCTGTTTCCCTGCTCCAACACACCTGATTCAAATGATCAGCTCGTTATCAAGCTCTGTAATGGCTTAATAACGAGCTAATCATTTGAATCAGGTGTGTCACATCCAAAACATGCAGGACAGTGGGCCTCGAGGACTGGACTTGAGAACCACTGGCTCATCTTACCCCACTCTTCCCGAATGTTATGCCAATTTTTTGAGTCACCACGATGCTGATACTTTTTAAATGGAGCATAATTTCATGCCATACCAGGGGAAGCAGTTGTGATGAAGAGGTTATAAGTGGCACTTGACGGTATAAGCATTTATTGATGTAATAACTTACATCTGTCCTTTTTATGCTATGATGGATGATATCATCCTCTTTGATGAAAGTGTTTTAGTTAGCTATCATGCAAAATCAATTTTCATTAAGGTTTATTAAGGTGGAGGTTACCTTCACCTAACAACATTTGGCAGCCTGCTATGTTGTTAAAAAATGCCTTACTGGCAAATATCTGTAATTACTACTTACAAGAGTTGTAATACAGTTAACAAACGGCTTCCAGAAAGAGTTAAAATCCTCAGGAAAGTTTGCTTTAATTACCTAGTTTTTGAGCAAATCTGCTGCTACTGTTTTAGTGAGCCTATCATTGCTGCTGTTTTCATTCATTCATTCCAGAGTGCAATTCAGCCAGGGTCCAGTCAGTTTAAGAACGCAATTACTGTTGTTGTTGTTTTTATTTTATTTTTGTTTTTTATTATCATTACACAAGGAACTCTTCGTTGATGGGATAGCAAGAAAAGCCAGAGGAAGACCCAAGAAAGAAGAAGCATGGATTTAAATGACTTTGTGGTGCTTCCTAACAACAAGGCCAAATCTGTCAAGCACAATGCCAGGTAAGATGAGAAAAGATCAATGACGGGTTAAAGGCATTTGGCGTGGGCTATTAGGACTGCTTGGCTGTCTATTTACTGTCTTGTTCACATTTAACTTCAGTGTGGGGAATGCACACTTCTGTAGATGGAGTTTCAGGAGAGATAAACCATGTGACCTGGGTTCTGATCCAGCACATTTGTTTTCTTCATATCGGCTAGTACAGAATTGAGTCGAGTCTCCTTTGTAGTTTCTCATCTGCCAACAGGTAATTGACTTAATTGATGTCTGCTATGGTGGTACCCTGATCCAGTAACTAATTGCTTTAACTATTGATCAATTGTTGCAACAGAGGTCTGCTCATGCAACAGATGAATTGAATATATTGATGACAGCCTGGCTGTCCAGTTTGACAGAGTAGGTCATTTGTATGATTGATTGTTTTTGATTGATTGTGTAAATGTGTGTGTGTGTTTGTGTGTGTGTTGCTATATAGGGACCTTCAGGACCTGCAGGTGGAGACTGCAACTCTGGCTAAGGATAGCACAGAGATGGAGGAGAAACTACAACAACTCAAAGAAAGAATGAGCAAAGAAAAAATGGAGAGAGGGTGAGTATCAATGTTACAGAAAGAAGTGAAAGTTAAAAGGAGAGGGACTGAGTTTGAGAAGAGAGAATAAACAGTACAAAAACAGCATGAAAAAACAGATGAAATCGGGTTAAAGGTCCTTACACACCAGGGCCAACGCGAATATAGAACGCGAAAATACGAAATATTCGGAGGTGAATTTTGACACGCCTGACTATACACATCAAGCCCGATGCGATTTTGCGACTTTCCGGGGGGGAAGAGACACATCCCGGGGGAGACTTTTCCCGGGCAAAACCCTGTCTCCTTTACCTCTGATTGGCTAGAAAAGCTGGAAACATCATCACAGGCTCAAGCCAAACGGTCAGCACTTATAACCAATCAGAGGCGATAAGATAAGCACAAAACAATGGTAACAACCGTTAGCATACATTAGCACAGATGACAGTTAAAACAAAGGTGTTTAGCAAACTGTTAAAGCACAAAAACCATCATCATATGAGAGATCCGACGCTAAGTTGTCCTTCAGGTCGTTATCTTTGTAATGTTTGTGTCTTTCATCATAAAGCACTCTGTTCTCCAACACGTAAACGATCAGCCGGTCGGCCATGTTGGATATACCGGTGAATCAGACGTCACAACAACACGCTATCTGATTGGTCAGAACTGGACACACAAAAATAAATGCCGGAAAATCGCAGGATGGGAAAGCGTCGCTGATGTGAACACTTGTATTGACAGGATACGGGTTCGAAAAAAAATATTGACTTCCGAAATAATCGCAGGACAAAAACAGTCCCAGTGTGAAAGGACCTTAAGAGAGGAGAGAGTGGAGTGGTAGGAAAAATACATGCTAAAACAAATTTGGTACTTGAGATTATATTTGCTATTAAGTCGCTAAAAATGCCATTTAGGCAACATTTGTTTTAGTGGCTACATCAATCTGCCTGCTATGACCAATTGTTCCAACCACGGAAAGGCAACAGATGATTTAAATATATATTCAATCTCGTCTGTCATTAAAGGTTAACCTAAAGCCCCACAACAGCAGCAGGATTATTATAACACCAGACATTTTGATGCTTTAACAGTTTCAGAGAGAACACGAGGTCAAACATGATATAGGATGGAATGACAAGGGCTATAGAAGGACAGATGGGGAGAGATTAAAGAACAGAAGGAGGTCAGGAACAACAGCAGGTAACGATAGGTTTTAGAGAAGGAAGTAAAAGTAAAGAAAACTGCAAAGAGAAAGTGTGTCCTGGCATAAGGAACCAATGAATGAATAAAGCAAATTTGCAGATATTAAAAATATCCCTAAAGTTTAGATGCTGTTAAAACTAAAGATCCAGATTTTCACAGGTAACTCACTGAAGGGACAGATAGCTAATGAAGAGAGAGGAGTCGTTGAGGGGGCAGGGTATGTGGGACGACACTGCAACAGCTGTAAAAGGGCGAGCAACACAGGAAGCAAGCCGAGCAGAAAAGTTGAGAAATAGAGATAGATGGAGGAGGGGACTAAATGAGAAATAGAGGGAGGTCGATGACTTCTCTACTTATAAAGGTCTTGAAAAGGTTGCATTGAAAAGAAAAAGGAGCAGTCACAGGGTTGAAAAAGCCACACAAAGATGAAGTAGGTTTATGCTCATAGTGAGCTATTACAAAGGTCAGTGGAGCCCTACAGACACCAAGTCCTGACCACTTGTGTGTAACAATATCACATTTTGCCATTACTTGAATCAATATCAGTATTCCTCTCATTTGGACATCAATAAGATTACGAGCACAGGAAGGAGAAACTTGGATATGAACTGTAAAGTAAGGTAAAGTGGGATCATTTAATTTTCAACAAAGCCTCCACTTTATAATAATACAATGGCCATGTCATGATAAGCACTCACACAAGTACCTCATGTATTTTTGCTTAGCTTTCTTTTCATACTTCTCCTTCCATAATCCGATTTGTAAGTCCATACCTGTCTGTGTATTCTGCTTAAGATGCTTTTGTTTGGTTTCTATAATTGTTCCTATACTTTCAATCAGGCTTTAATTTGTTTTCAGCATGCTATACATTAACTGTAACTTCTACTTAGAGTATTTTGAGGGATTAACAAGGGCTCAAAGATATCCTGCTGAAACATTTGCAACATTTGTTTTGTCCACCAAATCCTTGTATTCATTTCTTTGTGCTTTGCCTCTTATGTTTTTTCAGCAGAGGCAATGCCGAGGGTGAAAATATTGTAAGTTAGTAAAGAAGAATCTTAAATTATGGAAGGTTTACTTCAGCTTAATAATGGAACATAAACCAACTTCAAGTTAGTTTGTATGTTACTCTATACATACTACAATTCTGCAACTTTTCCCTCACTTTTTGATTTAAAAGCTATTTTGGGGTAAAAATTTTCAATTGGTATAGCAACAGTCATACTAATGCTTTTGTTTCAACTTAGCTCTGCTAATTACTCTTTCATACATCTATATTTTGTCCTGAGAAAAAAGTAAGCTCAGCTCAAAGGCCCCCTTTTTCTTTTAGATATACTCACTTGCCTTCAGACAAATTTGCTGAATATCTTGAACCAAATGCATTGAGAGAAATACCTTAATTCTGTTATATTATTGATCATTTTGATATCTATCTAAAATCTGGTTAATGTTCTCCCTAGGATGTTAGACATTGACACACCAGTCAGTTGTGGTGGTTAGAAACTGGTTGCTGGACATGACTGGTCATCTTTGCTTGGCTTAATATGGACTTTAAATAGTAAGGGAATTTGGGCTGAAAGCACAGAAGGTGTTTGACAAGTACTTGAACACTAAAAGAAATCATTTTATATGCTGCAAAATATATAGGAAATGTCTGAGAAGTTTCCTTTTTCCGCTCCTCCTGGAAAAAAAAAGATGTAGCCATTTTTTCTTTGGGTTGATTTTTTTTCTTTGAAGGACATGCCTTCATTTACTAAAACTGTCTGAGTCACCGTTCAAACCAATCATGAACAGTGGAAACAGACTTCTCAGGTAGCCTTCAATATTTCATTTAGTTTCCCAGTTGTATCATGTCAAATAGACCTTGTCATTGTGACAAAATAGATGATGTTTTCAGTATTATTTTTCTTTGATGATTGACAGAAGTCAGGTTGTAAAAGCAGGAGGGACACATTTATTTGAACAGAATTGTAGTCTTTAAATGTTTATTGGCTTAAATATGAATGATGGATAGAAAGACAATGTCAGACTTCACTTTCTACCACACACAACACATCAAACCTTATCGTTTTGTGACAACAGGTGGTTTGCACTCACACATGTGGTCATGCACATATACTTTTTTCCTCAAGTCATGAGTAACTACAAGATTTGTTGTAAAGTTACGGAGAACAGCTCTGTAAGGATTTATTTCACAATATATGAGCACATAAACTGGAGGAGCAGGCACACATAGCACACACATGGGCACACAGACACGCACTTTCATACTGATTCGTAAACACACACCTACAGGTGCTAATTACAACATCAATAATTTAGAGCTGGGTCATGATGAGAGGTATTTGTTCCAAACAGCTGGTTGAAATTCATACATCACAAACAAACAAGGAAATGATGCCATATATTTTAATTGTAGGTTAATTCATCTGTTGTTTTCGGTGATTATTTTTGTATGTGTATGTCTCTGTATATGATACTGCTGTGAGTTTCATGGGAAAGCGTGGTTCTAATTAAGAAGCAATACATCAGTATGGGGAGCAGGCCATCTTGTCTGGGCTGCAGAGACGATAAGCACATAAACATAGTGTTTCCTGTCATACTGAAATACTGCAACATTTACCGCTACACCAGCCCAACGAGATATCACAAAGGTGTATGCCTGGCTGCCTGTGTGTATCATTTTTTGATGCTTGTTCTCCATAAATAATGACACTTGTATTAGAGTGCTGGCTGGTTACAAAGCATTACACTTCAGTTACGACACTTTCTGCTCCGCCAAAGAACAGGAATTATGCTGCAGCCTAATGTGTTTGAAATGTTTTTTATTAGCATAAGAAAATGTTCACACTTGTGAGGGAGTGAGGTTAAAAGATGCAGTGACAGTTTGTATTCATGTCTGAGGTGGTATGTGGAGATAGAAGAATTACCCTGACGGCACAGCCAGGGAATGATGATGGATGGAAGCGATGCTATGACTTAAAGATGAGAGCATCATATCAAGAATACATAGCAGTTCAGACGATGGCATTGGTCAGACTTTCTTGAAGGAAGCCCATCATTAGTTGACAGGAATTTGTTGATATGTTTTAATGCAGCCATGTTGTTATCGTCTTGACCACAGAGCCAGTGTTAATTTTGGCAGCTATTTTAGACAAAAATGACCTTCTGTTTTTTGTACATTTGAGTCTTTTTTTGCTCTTTATCGATTTGGTTAAGTTTTAGCTAATCAAAACTATAAACATTTTTCTAAGTTTTTGTCCAATCCAATCTAATTCACTTGATTTCTATAGCACGTTTTAAAAACATTCAAGTTTACCAAAGTGCTGTACAGTAAAATCAAAACAACAAACACTGCAGAAATTTAAAAAAAAAAAAGATGAAATCAATAAAAGCAGGTAAAACATTTAAAATAAAATAAAATAAATGAAATAAAAACACAAAATCATAAAAGAAATAGAAGTAATTACAGGACCATAAAAGACATTGTCTATGTATTTGCTTACTTATGTTGATGAACACTATGACAAAATTTAGTTTTCTATGAAATAAACACTCGTGCAGAGCTTTGGTAAAAAAAAAAAAAAAATTATAATAAATATAAAATAAATAAATAAATAAACCTTTTATAATTCCTCGTGCTAATCCTGGTCATATATGAAGAGCAGAAGCAAGGACTCACAGTACACCTCTGCACCAGTTTGAACTAAACAGACGATCAGCCTTGCCTCTTTCACATTAACCACTGCCTTTCAAGTGTAACTTACCGGTGATTTCCAAACTCTTTTTGAATTGTACAGCTGCTCTTTAGGGGCATCTTGATTATACAGTTTACACAGTGAGCAAAAGTAGCATGTATATCAAAAGAAAAGACTGTAGTTAATGTGATGAACCAGAAAACACATTAAGGCTTTAAACAGTCAAACTCTTTGTTAGTGTTGGCCGGGGTTTCCTCTTAGTTTCTCTGTGAAACATGTTGGCTAACTTTAAAGAGAGCAGGCAAAGGTAGAAGTTTGGCAGTTATTCAGGTGTTCAAAGGAGTGCTGTAAAAGCGATCCACACAGATTTTTTTTTAGAGCTCTCTTTCTTACCTGTCTTTTTCTTTCAAACATACAAGTGCAATGTTGACAGATCTGTAGATCTTCAATCTGTTATTTATGCTCTTGCTCTGCAGTATAATGTGTATCTGTGTCATGCACCACTCATTTTTTCTTCCTCAGCAAAGATCACAGAGCTCCCAGAGTCTATGAACTATTATCTTTTGACTTGAAGCTTGCCGACACACTCACACACAAAGACACCCAAAGAATAGGTGAGCAAATTCAGTTTTCAGAGAGGAACTGAGAAAATCAGTTTGTGAAGCGAACACAAGTGATTATAAAGCCGGACCAGCAGCTCAGGGGCAAATGTAGTACATCATCCTCTGTTTTGACCTGCCTGAGGACCAGATTTAATGTAGCTTTGTCTTTCGGTTGACAAGACCTTCTGACACTTGTTCTCACCTTGTCTGAACAAATAGCCGAGACTCCTTTCTCCTGCTTTTGCTGTCTGAACAGCCTCCCTCTGTTTTTCCTATCAATATTTATAACCATGTAATTTTTTTGACTTATCTCTGTACCGTTTTCATCCTAGCAGTTGTTATAGAATTGGCAGAACGTTTTCTTGCCTCTGATTAGCTTCCATCAGTCTCTGGACTCTCTGTTTTGCCCTGTCCTATTGCTCACACTGGGAAAGAGGGAATTAAGATGGGACACAATTATTTTGGCATTAGACTGCATAGAGTGTTTGTAATATAATGGCTATCAAGGACACAGGTGTTCTCAGTTCTTCCTTTTGGGGACATCATGGGTCAGGCTCACCGGGTTGTGAATTCCTTGAGCTTTAAGGTCCTTACACATCAGGGCCGGCGCAAATATAGAACACAAAATTACGAAATATTACAAATTTTTACACACCTGACTATACACTTCAAGCCCGATGCGATTTTGCAACTTACCGGGGGGAAAAGACGCATCCCGGGTGGAAGCGAGAAGACTGACACAACAGCAGACTGACTGTTTTCAGTTCTGATTAGACACTAGTGTTGAGATGTCTGTCTGTCATGATAGCATGTACTGAGTCGGGGCCAGTACCAGATAAGCACATTAAACTATAATCCATTAACGTAACGTAACAACCGAGACCTAATGGTGCTGTGACAGCAACGTGATTGAGTTTGAGACAGTGAAAATACATATGGTATGTTGTATCTGAACAGGTTAGCTTGCGAGCTAAAGTTACTTAGCACAGATGATATTAAATCAAAGACGTTCAGCAAACTGTTAAAGCACACAAACCATCGTCATATGAGAAATCTGACGCTATGACTCTCCACAAGTTGTCCTTCAGGTCGTTATCTTTGTAATGTGTGTGTAAACAATCAGCCGGTCGGCCATGTTGGATATACCGGTGAATCAGACATTGCAACAACACGCAATCTGATTGGTTAGAAGTGGACACACAGTATGCAAATTTAGAAAAATCGACCATGATCCGAAAAAATAAATGCCGCAATATCGCAGGACGGGAAAACGTTGCTGATGTGAACACTTGTATTGACAGGATATGGGTTCGAAAAAACTTTTAACGACCGAAATAATCGCACAACAAAAACGGTCCCGGTGTGAAAGGACCTTAACTATAAATATTGAATTTCCCTTTGGGAATAGTAAAGTTCTTCTTATCTTATCTTAAATAATTTGACACAACTTGCAAATTCAATATGTGTCTATGGTTCACAAGGATTTTCGGTGCAGATTTTATGGATTGTGTAATTTAAATAAATTAGTTCTCTTTTTTTTTATTTGACCAGGAGCTAAAATGTTCCCAAAGTAGCAAAGTCACATTCACTTTAGGCAGTCTGAACACAAGTTGGGATGAGGTGATGTAATGTGCAGTTGTGATGGTGACCTACCGTGCACCACAGTTGGCTTGTCAGTACTGCGGTACTTCATTTTTGCTGTTAGTCCGTAAGCCTTTTTTCGGCCCACAGGAACCTTTTTTGACAAGGGAGCATTGGGTGTTATTTATGCTGTTGTTTTATAAAAGAGATTTTCCATTTACTTGGAAAAAAAGAGGGAGGAAATAGTTTGTACAATCATGTACAATTTTTCCTTCTCTTGGTGTAACAGGTATTGTCAGTTAGTCATGTTTGTGCATGTCATTCGAATGGCGGTGTTGGATGTGCCAGACTGAAAACAAACGGCAAAATTAAAAAAAAAACCTTGCTTGCAACACGATAGCACCCCCCCACCCCAAAACACACCCACCCAGTCTGTGAGCTCAAATGAACAGTGTGTTGCAGTTTTTTTTTTTTAGCTGATTAAAGATAGCAGTGTGAAGAAGTCTGCCAACTGCTTTCACTGCATGCAGTAGGTGTAGATGAAAGACTTGGTTTGTGTCTTTTTGTGTATGTTTGTAAGACAGAGCGACAATAAAAGTGGTAATGTGCTTCTGTCTGTATTTTTCGAAAAACAACTTTGAGCCATTGTTTTTTTTTTTTTTTAAGTGCATGTTTACTCTTGACTATGTGAGTGGGTGTAATTGAGTGTGATTCTGTGTTGATTAGATAATGAGAACTTTGCCGAGGCAAAATGCACAGAGATACACACTCACACACACACACTCACACAAACACACACACACGTACTATTTACCTCCAGGTTGACTGTCCTGAGGTTGGCTGTCCTGAGGGGACACCCTGTCATCCTGTACTGACAGTGGTGTGCCTTTACTGTCTCCCCTAGCGACAGTCCAGTTGCCAAGGTGATGTCGCCAGGGTGATTACCTGACGCCCACCCTCAGTGTCAGCACAGCCACAGCCACGATATCAGGGGTGTTGGCAACTCTTGCCATCACGCACACACACACACACACACACACACACACACACACACACACACACACACACACAAACAAACAAACAGAATACAGAGAGACACTCTCTCACACACAAATAGAGTCTGACTTCCTGTGCCTTGACAGGCTGCCAACTCAATCCAAAATAAACTTCTTTCAAAGACAGCCAGACATCACAATAGCATAAATAGCATAAATAATTCAGCAACATGAGCATGAATAACTTGTGACTAAATGAGAATCCCTCTCCATTTCTTTACTTTCTGCAACTGACAGAAGTGTCCTCCATGAATGTGTGTGCATGTGAATTCATGCATGTGCACATTTGCAAAAAATGTTCTTGTATTTGAATTTGCATCTCTGCCAGTGTTCATTTCTTTTGACTAGGTATGATTCCTGCATTTTGTCATGTACTGTATTTCTGTGTTATGATTAACTGACCTTTATTGTCCTTATTTAAATAAACAATGTTCATTTGGTCTCTAACTATGTTATGTAATTTAGGCCCCAGTGATATAAGCCATGTGCAGAATAAATTTTACCGTAGCTTAATTATTCTGTTGGCAAATGCTTTTTTCTTTTGGTTCAGGGCTGAGGGATCAGAGACTGTGTTGTGATAAATTAAACACTCTTGACTAAAGGAACTGCTATTTTATGGATTTAGTCAAGGGACTATGGAGTTGGTAACAAAGGGGTGCTACACCTATTTTCATGCTGGTATTAATTTATTTTTCTAGACTCCACTTCTTTCTCCTACTCATGGCACTGTTATTTAAACTGCTTCAGTCCCCTTGGGTCCTCCGCTGGATTAAAATGCATTATCTCTGAGTTTTGTTACGTATACCCTGCCTCTTCTTTCATCCAATTGAAATTACAGGGGTAACTGCATGGTGTTCGCTTTGCAGATTTAGCTTAATCCCACAAGCCTTATACCATTTAAAATGTTTCTTTGGGTTTCATCACCTTGTATGCTGAAATTGTAAGAATCTTTCTTCTCTCAATTTTCACATTGTATGTAATATGAGAGGGTATACCAAAGCATCCAAATGCATTGAAGTGCCCTTCAAAGTAGAAACCATATTGTCTCCTCCAATTCTTTTGTTCAGTTTGGCTGTTTAAGTCATCAAGATCTTGACTGTTGCATTACTACATTTATTCTTATCACATCTTTTGATTCAGACAAGAAATCAAATAAATTAACAGAACTAGCAGCATTTAATTTTGAACCTCTAAATTGATGTAACTTGATTCAATGTTAACCATGAAATCGTAGAAGGGTTATGCATAGGCCTGTCACGATAACAGATTTTGCTGGACGATAATTGTGCTACAAATTATCGCCGATAAACGATATTATTGACACCGTTTTTTAAATTATAGTAAATGATATTAAATGGCATAATAATGCGAGTACACCGTGTCAAAAGTGATAAACTTTAATTTCACCCACGACGAAGACGTAACGTTGACGAGCTAAACATAAGTCGGAGATGACTAAGATGTGACGAGACGAAAGTGCGTTTACGTTGATGGGACGAGACGAAAATGACGAACAGAGTTGCAAAACTCAGTCAGTTAAACGCTAAACATATAGGAGCAGCTTCAGTCCGCTCTGACAGCTCTCATCAGCCTGCTGTGCTCCTCCAACACACAGACACACACGCGCGCGCGCACACACGTGGAGTTTTGTGGTTGACGAAAAAAAAATGGTTTAAAGCCGAAATATTCCCACACTTGGGCTGTTGCGTTCGGTTTAGACACCAAAGCTGTCGTGTTCATTCTGTTAGCTTGCTTTTCACTCACGACGCTCACTTACAGCACTGTATCCAAAAGTCTGTAGCTGCGTCCGAATTGCCAAGTAGTAGTCGAAGTAGTAGTCGAAGTAGTATCTAGCATGTCCGAATTGGCTACCGGAGCGAGTAGCATGCTACTTCAGATACTACTTCAGATGCTAGACACGCCCACATTGTAGGTTGGTCTCGGTGCATCCTACGGGCATGCTACTGACCCAAAATGCACCGCGGGCTTCTTCTTCGTCCTCTTAAAAGTTGTAGAAGCGCATGTGATGCTAGCGCCACCAGCTGCTGCCTATTTAGATGCGTCGCGAACGCCGGCTGGCCACAGCAGCGCGCACCATGTCGGAGCAGCAGCAGGCGGGACCGCAGCAGTACAGATGTAAGTTTCATGTAACTTCACACACTGTCCTTAAAAATGTGCGGTTGTATCTCTTTGTCATGTCATGGTGTCATATTTTCCCAAGTAATCATTTTATGAGCAAGTGGCGACATCATGGAGGTAAAGCTCACTTATTCCATCATTAAACTGCACAGCTGCAGTACTACAGCCAGGCCCACAGATGAAGGGCTTCAGTTACCACTGTCTGCACGGGCGCAGTACCTACTCTCTGCCTGCGGGGGTCGTCTTTCCCCACCGCTCGTCTAGTGTGTCCGAATTGGGCCAACGTTTTTAGTATGTAGGAGTAGGATCTAGCAGTAGCACGTAGCAGTAGCATGTAGTATCCGAGCGGGCAGTTCGGACGCAGCATGTGTCTGTGTGCCTGTGCGCGCCTACGTGTACCTGCTTGTGCCCCCCCCCCCCCCGTGACAAAGATACTGAATGACTGACAGGAGGGTTCACTAACTCCGTTCATTCCGCTATAGAGCCAACGCCCCCAGGTGCCGAGAAAAATGGGCAGAGTGAGACCTCTTCTGTCATCCAGCGTGTTTGGTAGCGAGAGAGGAGGAAAACAAACGCACGTAAATTATCGAGGCTGGCAAAATGACCGACCTCGTTTTTATTTACCGAGCGATAAGGCGATTTATTGATTATCGCGACAGGCCTAGTTATGCATATTCAAACTTTTCCTGTAAATTGGCATAACCCTCAGTTAAAATGGTCAAAGAAAAATTAATTTCCTCTCATTTTGTTTATCAATCTTTCTAGGAATTATCAGGGCTTTAGATGGAAGTCTGGACAGTGTGGTTCTCTAAAAAACGCAAACAACGCCACTAAGAACAAGAGCAACATACCCCAACAGGTAAAAATCTCTTCTTTCACTTGTGCTTGTGTTAATCTTTTGGACTAGGTGTTATCCTTCACCTGTGCATTTATGAATTTCAGTGATTTAAGACGATGTGATTGATAAACTGCTAAAAAACAAAATATTTTTAATACCCTGAAAAGCTTTACCTGTGACCCTGTTGTTCATAGATGCACCATGTACCTTAATACAGATACATCTGTTATCTTATCTCCGTTGTCTTCTCTGTTTTGATCTTGGAGGGTCTAGAGCTGATTTAAGGACAAAGAGTAAGATAGTCAATCAGAGGGATGACACACCCAGAGAGACAACTGGTAACATTAAACCTACAGGCAATGTAGCGTTACCGTTTAAGCTGTTGAGCATGTCTTTGCACTGTGGGGGGAAAGCAGACATTCACCAGTAGACTGAATACGATTGAGCAAACTTCATACAGAAAGGTTTTTGTCTTCAAATCAGACACCTTTTTGAGTGAGGTGCCATTGCTAATCATAGAATCCCCGTGCAGCCACTACAAGCACAACGGTACCTTAAACTATTTTCAGTCCGTCACTGTGCTGTGCGAAGGACACTTTACATCTTGTCCCTTAATAACAGAAACTGTTTTGAATTTAAGGGGGTGAATCTCTTGTGTCGGATGTTTAATCAGATAAAAAGTAACCTCTTCATAAAGGTAAAACCTCCTGAGAGTTGAAAGGAACAACTTCCAAAAGTGACTGAATTCTGAAAATTTCAATTTCAGCAGGGGGTTGCTCCGGCCATTAAGTGGCCCTTTGAGGAGTGGTAGTGGAGTACGTATGAAAAAGGAAGATTCTCAGAAGAAAAAAACAACAATCTTTATGTGGACTGAAGTGAAATTCAAATGATTTTTAATACTGATTCCTTATTAGGGATATCTGGAAACACCATCTTGTGGTACAGTGAGTGGGACTTTAAGATGTCTTTAAAGGCAGTTGTCAACTTGAGAGTACCACAGAGTTATAAAGAAAAGAAAGTAGCAAAAAATAAAAGGCTAAAATGACATTGAAGAAGTTTATGTTTTTTCCAAGAGTGACTTATTTATTCATTTGCATATTCAAAATACTCACTTTTGTTAGGCGTAAAAAGATCACTTGAACAAGGAATGGAAAAAAGACTTTGCAGGTGTATGAGGACCCTGAGAGCTTACATAAACTGTCACTACTGGTTTGTCAATCTCTGTCACCTTAACAGCTGTCAGCAGGCAAGGTGAAGATCCGAGTGGTGAAGGATGAACCGCTGACAGGTAAGAAGTTTACAGAAACTGAACCAGGTAGATCTAACACAGATTTGCACTGAGGATAAGCATTTGATCCTCTGATACACTCTCCTGCTCTGAAATTCTTTCTACCCTCGACATTGAAGTTAGTATCCAAGGGCAGCTTCAGGTCAGCACCATGGGATCTAGTTCAGTGTGTTATTCATATTTACTTCAGTAAGACTGGAACTTGCCATCATCGGGGCAAGACAGCAGAGTACTCTTGTGAATGATTGACTAGTGTTACCAGCTGCCAAGCAGAATTATTCATATTTTTGATCTTACCTGAGGCACAGTATCATGCCTTGAGAGTTCGAGGGTTTCACAATGTGCTGATGCTAACAAATGCACCAAACAAATGTTCTCCACAAACCTGAAATGGTCTGTCATTGTTGCAAACCCAAGTAGTCGTAATTGGATTATTCCAAATATTTTGTGCACAAGTACAAGCACATCTATTTTTTTTGCATTATTGTTGCTTTCTACTGGTAAGACAATACATCAATGTGTTCAAAGTCTCTAACATTCAGCAAAAGCCTTTAACAACAGCATGCTTTTTTCCTTCAGCTCCACCTCAACCACCACCTCCATTACAACAACCTGCCATTGGTCCACAAGCGATAAGGAAAAACAGACTGAGGGGAAAAATCTGTGGACAAGTCAAGACTGCTGGACTAGTATGTATGCAAATAAAAATAGAGGACATAACTAAATTCAGAGTACATAAAAAGCCCAGGATAAAAAAAAGGGAGTTCTTGGAGGGTTTTAGTTTCTTTTATTACGTCATTGACTCATTTTAGGTCTCTTAGGGGGCTGAATGTGTTTTTCCTTTAATACCTCACACTTTGCACGTTGGAGAACCTTGATAACACGGCACAGTTGGTCAGATTGCATTTCTCTTTTGTGGCTGTTTGTTGTTGGCTGTTACATGGATATGAGAGCTGGTGTCATGGGGCATTGGTTCACCCATTTATGGCTACTGGAAGTGAAAATGATGCTTGTGTTTGTGAACAACATCTATAAACAAGCCAAATACTTAAACGCAACTGGCTTTCATGCTACTATAACAATCTAATGTAAAAGATACATATTTTGGTTCAACGTGTTCCCAAGATTTGAAGTTTAGACCCTACATAGAGTTTTTAAATGTCACATGTCACATCACTTGACCCGTAGTCGCATGTTGTCTCATACTTGAGTCTTACTTTGTCTTTTCACCTGTCACTCTGTCTTTTTATTTATCTTATCTTAATTTCCCCTTCAGGGATTACCTAGGTTTATCTTCTTTTTCTTCTTCTTGATGTGTCCTCTCTTTCCCTCTCTTCTTTCTTTGACACATGCTTGCTATTTCATGTATTCAACCACTCCAGCACAGTTCTTCTCCGTCTTACCGATTCTCTGTGTTCCTGTCTGTCCTCCTCCACTCTATCATATTTGTCTGTCTTTTCTTTGCTCTCTCCCTCTTGGTTGTTCTCTACTCTGTCTCTGCTGTTTTATCTGTTGGTCTGTCTTGGTGTTTGTGTTTGCACTGATAACAGTTTAGCTGGATCCGTTCATCGATACTCCAGACCTCTGAGGGCACCATTGTTTATTCTTTCACGCTCTTCATCCACTGCTGCCCAGGAGGAGGGGCCTGCAACTGCATGCGCGAACGAGAGGGAGCAATAGACGGAGAAATGAAAAGGAGTCCTGTATATTTTGTGTGTCTTTGTGTGTGTGTGTGTTAGTATGTATAAATAATGCACTACGCAAAGTGAGCCAAGATATGCAAGCTCGATGACCAGTTACTTGCAAATCCCTGCCCACAAGATTCTCAATATTTATGTATAATTCCTGTCCTGTCTGACCATGAACACAGCAGAGTTTAGTTTTGGATAACTAAGAGAGGAAGCGCAGGAGCAATGAGGAAGGAGAAAGACTGATAGAAAGAAAGAATGAAGGAAAGGTAGGGGTCGTCTGAGTTAGAAACGATCATTTGTCGGCCCTTTTGTTGTGGGATCCTTTATTTTAAAAGCAGCACACACATTCTGCTGAAATGGTATGTGGTCATTTGTTTGATAGTGTGTTTGATGATGATGGTGCTAAATTGACCAATGAAGCACCCAGTCCCCTCAGCGCCCTAAAGTGATGGACTCGGTGACAATGCTGATAGCAGTCTGGGCAAGCACATAAGCTCACATACACAGGAAAGTACACTATCCAGTCACACACACACACATTCTAGATAGCCCTTGTGCCCTATAATGACGGCAATAATAGAAAGTGTTATGACTGTCTGTGCAATTCAGTGTGGAACTGCTCTTAAGCACATGAGCATGCATGCTTGCTTTCACACAAACAAACACGCACACACAACCATAAACCCAACCGGGCTTATTTTAAACCATGACTCACGCGTACTGGCACAAGCTACCTAACTTGCATGTGCACACACGCACACACACTGCACGCTAAGCCTTGTGCTGTACTCCAGAGTCATCCAGGCAAAAAAGGGGCCATTTCCTCCTGCGTAGCACAGGAGAGTGCAGTGATATGCCACTTGCAGCCTGATAGGGATGCCTAGTCCCTGGGGAGTGACTGTAATTTATTCTCAGGCCTGAGAGGGGAAATGAGGCCTTGCTTTATGGGACAATTAAAGGGCAATGTCGCAGCCGTCGACTTGCATGTGTACTCTCACAACCACACGTACACACTCACCCATGCGCCAAAATCTTTAGAGGCATAAATCTGAAGTGTGGTAAGTGGTATGTGATTAACAAAAAAAAAAAAGGAGCAGGATGAATTGATGATTCTCCAATAAGTTTGCATACAAAGACTTCCCCACAAAAATGAACAAACTGCTAAATAATGAGCAAAGTCTATATGATCAAATCATTGAATTGAGGGAGTGCACCATTTAATTTTTTCAATGTGGCACAAAAAATGAAACAGGCTATAATGCAAAAATAACGAAACAAACCAAATTAAGGGGAACAAACAGATTATGGCTTTCTGTTTGTTATTTCTAAATTTGAAACGCCTCAGTCCTTTTCTCCCTCATTTAATATCACTTCCAAACATCCTCTCTTCTCATTGGCTCTGCACACTCCTCCTGTTCTTGCCCGAGTGCTTAGTCCACCTGGCCCAGTCTTATCTCCCCAACCTGCTGATGCAAGGACTTTTCTCCTACTAATAAGCCCAGATTCTCACAGATAGATATGATAATGACCTCCCTTAAGATGCATCCACTCACACACTAGCATGCACAACACCCACAGTCAGTCCAATGCATACATGCCACACAAGCTCTCCCTACCTTGCACTCTGTACCTCAGTTTCTCTCACCCGAATCTGACACTCACGCACACTCACACATGCACATGCACGCACACTCACAGTGTTTTGCCTTTGAATCCATTTCAAAATCCATTCCTCCTGTCAAAGTTTGTTTAGCAAGGTTGAGTTAAGACTAAGGGAAAAAGGTATCCGGCCTTCAATTTAAATCTTTAACAAACACTACCTTAGCATCTGCTTGCCAATGCAAAATGTTACATACACACGCAAACACATGGCCTGTATGCACACCCAAAATTACTCTCAGGTTATCTCTTGCCTCCTAAAGACACATTAGCATACAGATTCTGACATCCATCCCTTGATTCTTTTTGGCAAACAAACGCACAACCACCCCCCCACACACCCCTGACTGTGTGTCTTTGTATAAAAGATGTACTCAGAGGACGACTGCGTTGGCTGTTTTACCAAATTCAACCAGAGGGGGGCACTTAAGCTCCATAAGTTCATCCCCCATTCAGGTAAGCACTGCCCTGTGTGCATCAAGTCAGTTTTCTCCCTAGTGTGTGTGTTGCTCTTTCTAGCTTTCTCTGTCTCTGTTTCTCCTCCACAGATACTTTGAATAACAGCTGTCCTGATCCTCATTCCGTCTACTAACCTCATTCTTTGCTTTATAGTTCTTGCATCCATGACCACAAAAATGTACCGATCTCAACTCCCAGACTTTCTGTTCCTGCATCCTATCTTACTTTTGTGGCTGCCATGCCCAAACACACATGGACACACACGCACATACGTGAACAGTGCAGCCTTTTCCCCTGTGAACTGTGTGTGTCCTTGTCTCCTTCTCCCTCCCTTTCAGCCTTGCCTCTCTTTCTTAAACTCGTCCTCTCTCATTTACACTCTCTTTCCTACACTGTCCTTCTGTCACTCCTCCTCAAACATGTACAAACTGGGACCGAATCATGTGCTTATACCAGGAAAGAGAGCATGTAACAGGCCTCAGGCAGCAGCCATCACAACAGCAGCCATCAGTCAAAGATGAAGGGAGACAGGACAGCAGGTCAATATCAAAGAGTTTAATTAAACAAAATGGAAAAAGATTCTTTTTTCACTTCACATAGGAAGTATCTTAATTGAATCATGACAGCTACCTTTCAAGTGAAATACAACTAGAAAAGCATATTCCTACAATATTAGATTTTGGGTGGAATTGTGTATCATTGCGAAATGCTTTAACAGCTGTTATCACACATGCACTCTGGAAGTTTTTGGAAAGTTTTAGGAATATTTCAGGAAGAGTTCAGGGGCTTTGACTGGAAAATTTACTGAACCCTTCACACATCCACCCTCACAATGTAAAGTCTCCCCTGTCGGATGGCGGGCTTTACAGGAGGCTGATCATTATGCCAGATAGATCCAGATACCATAGATGCTGTGGTATCTGGATCAGACAGATCCAATCCAAATTTGCTTTGAACAACTGGGATAAAAGTAAGACAGATTTGATCCAGATTACACCTTTTGAATTACTGGGCCCGGTTTCCACTACAAGTCATTTCCTTTTTTATTTCTCACCGTCGTATTCAAAGAAATCCCATACAGGACTCTGCCACTTTCTCCCAACTTTTGCCGTTATTTTGCCAAGTAGAGTTGGGACGAGAAGCTGACTCTAAACGAGAAGTGACAAACCGTGATGTGCCACCAGCTCACTTAAAATTGCTGAAGCGAAATGAATCAATTTTATATCAATCTAAAATTGACAAAGACAAAAATGAAGGTATTTTTATCTATAATTTCAATACGTTTTTGTTGGCTTTGTAAACACACAGTACAGTTTCAGTTAATTATCGTTTTTATTTATTTCAGTTAACGTGAATGTTTTTTTCAATTTCAGTCCTCGTCATTTCGTTCCTTTTATTAATGATAATAACCTTGGCCCACAGCAGCTGTATCATCATGTGCCCCACTTTTCAGCTGCGCATTTGTACAAAGGGTTGTATGATGTGGTTTGGTCACCACACTGTTATTTTATTGGGTGGCCACAAAGGTAAACAGCCAAACAAAGTGACAGAGTCAAAATGACAAGTATTGATACTACTCTGCGAAATCCCACAGGATACAACACTCTTTCTTCCCTCTCCATCTCTTTCTCTATGTATCTCTCTCTCTCTCTCACTCTCTCCATCTCTTCATCTTTCTATAACTCCTGACGCCAGTCAATCAGTAGTGCATGGGTGGAAGCGTAATTACAGTTTCAAACACATACACATGCATGCGCTTATACAATCACACATGGAAAGCTATGTATTTTGGCAAGGCATAAAGGACCATAAGGGATTATACTCATGCAGCTGACGCAGACACATCTCCCTCTCTCTGTTAATCCTGTTTCGTTTGCCTCGCAAAGAATGAGGGAAAGAGCGACAGCCACATGAGTGAGAGAGACAGAAAGATTATTAATTTCATTAGGTCATTGTATTTGTTTTCTTTTTTCATGACCGCACCATCTAGTATTGCAGGCTCTCACTAACACGCATACCTAGTTGAAAGAGGCATTCTTTGATATGGCCTAACCCGAGTGAAGTACTATGAGGGTGTGTTATTCTGAATCAGAGCAGTTTTCGTCTTTGGATTTTTGCCACACAGCAGTTATACAGATTGTACCGGTGCACATTATTCAAATAAAGGGAACTTTGAGATTGTTTCATGGGATGGTCTGTCGCTGCAAACAACAGCCATACCTTTCTGGTTCGGATCACATGAGAAGCAAAGAGTGAGCATCTGCTTCACTGGCATCACTGACATCCCTTGCATGCCTGAAGCATCCTGGCAGAAATGTTCCTCAGTTATTTGTATTCACATCTTAGAAACATACGCACAAAGAGAAGAGAGGGAGAGAGGGTGATTGACAGATGGATGGATGGATGGACACAGAGGGAGAAATGGTTAGATAGATGGGCACACAGACCTTTATTATCACACACTGCACAAGTACAGTAATGGCATTTCTCAGTATCATTTTTCAGTAAAGCAGTGCCTGCTCAAAGTAGCTTGAATTCTTAACTAAGCATCTTGACACTGTCACAATATACCTCAGTGACAGCTGTTTTGCCTCCCTTGGTCACCTGCTTTTGTTTCACGTGTTCAGTGAGACAAAAACAGGTCTTCACTTTGACCCCAGCAGGATTCCATGGGCTACAGGGTGACGACATGCTCTGTCCTGGCTGTTTTGGTTGTTTTTAATCAAGTGATGAAAATGTCCTAGTGTTTATTGTTATTTATTGTTTTTATTGAGCCACTAGAATGAAGAAGAAAACTAAAGATATAGAATATCTTATTGCCGGGTGAGTCCCAGTTTTTACCTGGTTTTTGGTCATCAAAATATGGTCATCTTAATGGAGTGTCTTGTTACAAATATGGGATCAGTGAGTGTAACAGTTCTCAGTGTATAAAAACAAGTCTATTTAGTGATATGTAGCTAGGCTGAAATGCTCTCCCGCTTACCTCACTAGTCATAAAGCCAATGTTAGCCTCAGGGGACAAAAAGTGGTGATGCAACAAGAGTATGATCCTCCATTTGTCAAGTTTTACCATCAAAAATGCTAATAAGTATGAACATTTGAGCACTCTCATCTCCATCTAACCAGTGAATTTCACACAGTAACTTACATGATACCAAAAAAAAAAAACTTTTTTAACTTGACCTGTTTTGTCCAACTGATGAAACATGGCAGTGCAAGATGGTGGCCTGCAAGGGAGGAGACCCCTGCCTATGAAGATATAATCTCATGGATAAACAAATGTGCTTTTGTAATCAGGCGATTTTAGACTGATTTTAACATACTAGCATTATAAGTCCAGTGACTTTTCCATACTGTACCTTTAAAGCAAGTAGTTAATTGAGGATGAAGGAATTCACACACATAGATACAACTAACCATGTGTAAAACTTACATGGTTGTGGGGTGATATGATGGAGAAAGAATAAACTTATGCTGAATGCAGATGCCGGTAGTGTGGTTTCAGTGAGTCTTAGATGGACTGTCAAGCACTTTGAAACTTAATAAAGCTTCAAGTGTTCATTTACGAGTACAGTCAGCTGGTGACCAAAATGAGACAGAGAAAAAGATTTTCCTTCACAGTGTGTTAAGATCAGGAGAGGAATGTCCCCAGGCTTTTCAGATTGTTTGCAGACAAATACTTCACTCTTGAAATTTCATGCTCAATGACAAGTTTTCTCACAGAAGGTACTGAGTAAACCTAATTCATAACTTGAAGAGACTGTTGCTGTATAAACTGTTCTCTTCTCTCTCTGTGACTGATAAGACCAGATTCAAATTCAAGACCAAGAACGAGTCTCTGTCTTTGCCATTTGGACTCAGTTTGATCCATCAATCCAGAATGACATCACTGCCTTTTGAAAACGTTCAAGACTGGAGGCAAAATCTACCACAGGCAGGATCAAAGAACTTTTACCCAGGAACCATCAAACATAGGGATGAGCTCTCTCTGGAAGGGAGAAATATTTACTTTTGTCACGTTACATTTGCAATGCCACAACAGGTGCACTTCAGCTATGGCAGAATCAGCCTTAATCGTTAAGACAGTTGTTATCACTCCACTCTCCTCTAGAAAGTGCCGTAAGTTAAATTACCAAGTTTGTAGCAAAGGTCCCCAGTGTGAATTAGTTCAGATGTCTCCTTTGTTGGTTTCGTAGAAGTGAATTCTCCAATATATTCTAATCAGGAAGCCAAGTTATCATTAAGATAAATTGAAGAATGATCAAAAACACAAACAGTTACAGCTTTACTTAATTGTGCATCTTTCTGCCTTTTGTGTCTCAGATATGCTAAATTTTGTAGGGTTATTTGTGTTTTTTGATGGAATAGCTCGTTTCTCAAGCAACATAATAACAGTCCATAGCAGATCTCTCACAGCAGTACTTATCCATGGTGATTAATGAAACTGTAGAAGAAACTCAGCCACTGCCAATGTTATAGCTTAATGCAGTCAGCACACATGCAGCATGCTTCCCATTTTCCCAAGTGTTGTCCATAAATTTTAACCATTTTCACAATAGTCTAAAACCTTTGTGTGTGTGTGTGTGTGTGTGTGTGTGTGTGTGTGTGTGTGTGTGTGTGTGTGTGTGTGTGTGTGTGTGTGTGTGTGTGTGTGTGTGTGTGTGTTAGAGAAGGTCAATCATTGCAGTTGGACTTGCTTGTAATCAACAGCATTGCATGTTAAGTGTCTTACAGCTTTAGTCCCTTGTTCCATTCACATTGTAGGAAACAAAGGTGAGGACGTAAACCCTTTGTCATTATTCTGACTTTCAAGGTGATTTTATTTATGTAGGTGTAGCACTTAACTTCACAATGTCTATCGAGTGTTTTCTTGAGGTGACAAAAGCCTGCATCTCCAATCATCAGAAATGGCTGTGAATCCGTGGCACTGAATGCCAAAACCACCCTTCTTCTTTTTATGTGTCTCTGAACCATTGGGGTGTGTACTGTATGATGGAAAGCATCAGCGTGGATGTGTTGCTTTTTAGGTGATGGTGTAACCTGCTTGGCTGTTCTGCCTCCTGACAGTGACAACACTTGGTGCTGCAGCTATGCAGTCAATTTGAAAGTGTTTACACATCTGAAAGAATGCAGTGGCAGTGAGAGACATTTGGCATGAAACAGGCAGTTCAACTGAACTACTGTCCTTGTCCAGTCTACAAGTACCAGGTGGTTATCGACTTATTAACAAAAGTTTGTATGCCTTTGCAAGGGATGATGGCCATATGCCCCTATTTGGGCCATATCCTTGTCAACCGACTGTGTCGACTATCCAACTGGCTCGAGGTTAACAGGCTTTATGTTGAACAATAAAAACACCCAAAACTCCACAGTTCTGTGATTTTAGTGTGTACTGTATGGTATGCCTTGACAGCTTTGTCATTTTATGAGTTTTTTTTTAATTACCCAGCTTCTCACAACAGATTTATGCTTAACTTCCAGGTAAAAGACCAACTTGTGAACAGCTCCTGGCTCTTGGAGTCTGATTGAGGTGTATACATGCAAGAGAATTATGTTATTACAACTACAAGAAAATCAGTTTACTGTGATTTCAGTTTGACTATTACGTTCACTTATGTATAACACATAAACATAAGTAGTGTAGTGCCTCTTTCCTAATAGGATTGCATCCAATTTTGTTGTACATGTACAATGATATTCTGGTTGTTTTTTATCTTACAATGCTCAACGCATTGAGGTATTGTATAGTCTGCCACTGATGCTGTTTACTCCCCCATCTTTCAAGTGAAATGATTGAGGTCAAGTTTACTCACAGGGAGGAGTTTCCTCATCCCAGTGTCAGGCCTAGATGCACACGGTATAAAGCCAGCTTAGAGAGAAACTTAATGGTGGTAATTGATGATAGTCAGAAACAAAACAAAACAAATTGTTGATGCAATTATGAATTGTTCAGTGCTATATTGAGAACTGTTGCTCACTGACGGACAACGCCATTACACAGAGGTTTATTTAATTTGATCTGGACTTGGGAACTAGAAGGAACCATTGTAATTTCCAATTAAGTTTTTTTTTGCCCATTTCTGGGAGGCTACTAAATGACAATTCCCATAAACAATGTTAATGGACAACAATGTAAGAAGAGCATAACTGTGGTAACTAAGGAGTATAAGTGCTGGACTATGGTAGTGTCTACAATGGTCAACTTGGTCTAAACACAAGGTAAACTGAAAACCTTCAGCAATTTGTACATTCAAAATTTACATAGACATAGACATGCAAATTTTCAACAAAGTGAGATAATTTCTCTACAATAAGGTTTCAATTTAATAAAATTTATAATGGTTTTCTTTTACAGGCTGATCTCCAGACCAATGTGACAACCACCATTGGCTCTAACTGCTGTCCTGGTGCTTCTTCAAATCCTAATTCCAGTTACAAATGCGGAACTGATCCAAATCACAATTTTACACCCAATTCATCAACTGCACATGAAGATCAGTGTTCAGGAAAAGAGGCTGAGGCTGAGGCTGTGGCAAAACCGAAGCAGTTTTTTCATGATAGTCAGGTAGGTGGAAATCTTAACAGTACCACACACCAGTACAGACAGGGGAATAAATAATCATGGACTGGTTTAGGACTGCAATTACAAAGGTTTAGAGGCAAAGTGACTCATTTCATGTGTCACGAAAGTTTCTCTAACCATGTCTGCAGTTGTCTTGTAAAAAAAAGTTTTAAATATTTTTATTGTTATTAATCCCTATAGGAATTTCCTATCATTGCATGAACGTATCAAACTAGAGAGGGGTTTGTGTTTATTTGACCTCAAAACCCTTTGAGTCTGGTTAAAAAATACCAAACAAACCCTAATTTACACTTCATACACAGGCTGTGTCTAAAGGCAGGCATGTGAGCTGCTTGATTTCTTTGTATAAAATTGGGAATCTTCTGTTCAGTGTCTTGTGTTTTCTGAAGAATCTGGTGCAGATGAAAACAACTTTCTAAAGACACATTTCTCTCCATCTGCTATCTCCAGCTATCATTTTTTATGTCAGGGTTTAACAGTCATATACATTTATTTTGTAGTGATTTCACCTTCATGTCATGCTTTGACAGTAATTGACTGAAAATTATGAACTGATAACCATTCTGAATAAAAAAATCCATCATCTACAACAAGAAAACATCAGTATACACCACAAGGCCTTTCACCCCCTAAAATCATTGGATATTTTATCTTTATGAATTCCATCTGCACTCATACGATTAAATTACTCTTCACCTTTACCTGAGCCAAGCTTCCTTTTCAGAGACCTGGTTTGAATGTAGATTTTCCCCTTTCACATTTTAGTGCTGTATCAGGAAAGACATAACCAAGGTCAGTGCTACTTAAATACAGATTTCTTCTTGCTATGTCTAGCCCAGTGAACAATCGGTATCCTGTAGCCTTGGAATGCTCATTAATTTTCCTTACTGTTATTCTTCTGCTGGTAACAATTGGCTTTTTACAAAGGCACACAAAGTAACAATTGTTTGGTGTTTTATCAGAAAACAAGACACGATTTTTGTGACTAGCATTTGATTCAAAATCAGGCTTACTAGGGGTGTCCTGATATAACATTTTTACTTTGATACGAGACCGATTATGTAACCCTCAGTATTGGCCAATACTGTTGTTGTGATCATGTGAGCTCTGCATGCTGGATCTGGGTGCTGCTACATAGGGGTACCGGAATGGTCTGCTTGTATCGGAGTGCTGATATCAGAAATTTTAGATGCAGGCTGATATTAGGGATGGGAGAAAAAAATTGATTTACACAAGTATCGCAATTTTTTGTTTTACAATTTTAAATGAATTGTTCAAAAATGGATTTTTTCAAATGTGAGAATAAATCTTAAAAACTGACTTATAATATAATGTTTAATTTTGGGGAGTTATGGTTACTGGAATAGTCAGTAGACAATCATAATCATCCAACTGTGTCACTGGTGTTACAAATGCAGACTAAAAATCGAGAAAATCGACAATATCGTAGATTTGCAATTTAAATCAAATCGGCTTCCAAAAAATCGTAGAAGACTCAAATCAGGAGAAAATTATATCGTCCCAGCCCTGGCTGATATTATCCTAATTTTTTTTTTTTTGCTGATATCAGACCAATATCGGATATCAGATATCAGTATCGACATCCTGAATGCTAACCATAGGTCATGCTATGCATATACAGTAGATGGAGTTATACATTATATCCTGAGTCTGCATGACTATAATATGTCGGTTGTTTGTTTTCTTGCAGGTTTTGTTGATGAACCATACTGGGAATATGCATAAAGTTACGGAAGAAAGGCCAAAAAGTGGTCTAAAAAGAGAATTCACTGATTCCCTTCTTAAAGGAGAGTACAATGAAGAGGAGTCTGCAAGATCGTTTCAGGAGGCTCTCAGGCAGTGGAGAGAAGAGAACACTGATGACGCGGGAGAGACCATGAGTAAGGAGGCAATGTGGATACCTGTCCAACCAGGTGAACGTTTGCATGTACTCAAACACTAAAGCAGAATATGGTGACATATAGCTGAGCATAAATCAAAGAGGTTTTATTTATTTTTTTAGTAAAAGGAATATATTTGTATCCAAGCCTCAAGAGTCTTTGTGAATATTGGTCTAAATATAGGTCTTACCTGTGCTTTGATGATGATTGTAGTGTCAGAGGCCCCATCTTTGCTTTTCCTATCACTTTTTTCACATGTTATTCTATTATGATCCCCCCCCACACTCACACAAACACCATCCCTCTTTTTCTGTTCAGAGGTTTTGGGGACATCACACCTGTGCAATCCAGTGCAATGCAATACAAGAGACTCGCAATAAAGAATTCCCCTGATTACTTGGAATCAGGGTGGGGATTAGGATGGAGTTACAGCCATGAAACTTTTAAGCTGTAGTTTATGGGGTAAGCTCTGGGTGATCTGTTGTGGGGCTTAGATGAATCATTGCATTTGATTGCACAGGTTTCACAGTATGTCCTTGCCGTGTGTCTTGTCCTGTGTTTTGCATCCCCTTCCGTATCTGGATCTCGGCTTAGAAGTATCTAACTCTATATTAGAGATTGAAAGACTCCTCTTTCCCTGGGCTGTGCACTGTCATCCAGATGGAGCTTAAGTATGCCTGGATACAGATGATGATCTGAATGAGGTTGGGACACTTCTTATCGGTATATTGTGATATAAGTTGTAACGCAAACTTGAAAAAAAAACAAGCCCACTTCCAAGAGTAATCCAGCAAGGGTGGCTTGCACAGATAAAAGACAAAAGCAAACAAACAGAATAAAAACAGTTGTGTGTAAAGACAGGGAGCATCCTCAGAACAGCCATCAACCCAACAGCAAGTACCTCAAAATTGTATGAATGAATACAGTATATGCTATCCAGTGAAGTCACCTCTGCCCGCTTCATCATTCTTCCTTTACTCTTCCTCTACTTGCTCATTTTTCACCGTCTCCAAGGCTTCCCTGCTCCCATTTTCCCTTTCCCTTGTCTGTTCTCTGATATGTTAGGGCCTCACAGAAACTGCTTACGACTGCAGAAGGACGGTAAATCCATGGCTGTTGCATATTGAGATAATTAGAGGTGTATTAGGGGTGGCCCCACTCCACACACCGCACCACACCGCACCACACCACAGCACAGCTCTATTCGCCATGGCTGTTTGAATTCTTATGTGTACAAGCTCCACTGCGTTGGGCATTTTTTATTTTTTACCTTTCACATGTGCATGTGCAGCATTGTGTGTTTGTGTGCCCAGGTTTATGTATGTAGGTGTGTATTATTAGCACTATTATTACAGGTTATATGTGTGTGTGTGTGAGTGTGTCTAGGTGTTTGTGCCTTTTATTAGGCCTCCTATTTTCTCTGCTTTACTGCTTGGGTAGACTCTGCCTCTCTCTCCCTTCACTCTACTCTGCAAATTGCTGCCAGCCCCTCCAGCTCTAATTATTTCTGTCAGGCCAATGGCACCCAGGCCCAATTTAAAGCTGCCACTGTGGACTGCCAAAATGTCTGGAGTACAATCATAACATTTCTCTTTCTTACTCCCATCTTTCTTTTTCTCTCATGCACTTACTATGTTTCTTTTATTTTGTGTACATCTTTTTTTTTTCTTATTCCCAGGGGGCTCTGTCCAGTCTGTTTTTGTTTTGGCACTTTTAGTATTGTGACAGGGTGTTTTCTCACTTCTTGAAGGGAGGTGTTTTGAGAAAGGTGTTAAGGAAACTGGCGAATAATGTTTTCCTTCTTCTTCTTTCTTACCTTTCGATGACTCTTTATTTCATTTTGGCTAACTTTTTATCTTCCTTTCTTCTTTAAGATAACTTGTTTTTTCTGTGTCATCCCCTCTTCTCTCCCATATTCCTCCAGTATTAGTGTCAGCCACGGCGACCCAGACTGACCTCACTTCAGACGAGGTAGCTAAAGGCCGAGGGAGTAGAAAGGGAGCAGTGCGGGTACCCGTCAAGTTGGAGTTTCCAGAGAAGTGCCTTACTTACACAGACAGATTGCTTGTCAAGAAGCTCTGCAGGTACATGAGCAAACAACAACAGACATGTATCACTCATATGTATTCTAAAACATGTGGAGATTAAAGGGCTCACAATCAAAGCACCATGAGAGGCTGTGCTTCTCCTTTTTATCATGCCTGAAAACTAACAAAGGAATCCTTGACAATCAAATCAGTTCTCTTTGGAAAGACATGCTACTCAAAATGGTTACATATTTTTGTATCCTGTATGGCAAAGAGATGGGATAGATCGCAGTTAATGTACTTATTTGTTTATTTCGCCTTTTTTTAAAAACTTTGTTGAAAGCCTATTGATTTTTTTAAATTTGTGGATACACTTTACGGTTTGTACACATTTACTGGATTCTACATACTGTTGATGCTTAACTTCATAGCACCCCCAAACAAACTTGAAAGCTGACCTACCAAGTGAACATGTAGCATGTTTGCCTTCATGGATTTGCAATGTGGAGCGTGTGTCTACTGTAGAGTGCTAACTACTGGACTTGAGTTAATCTTTGCGATTTACTTAGACCTGAAGTAGCTTTCAATATTTTTATTGCATGTAAATGTACTTTTGAAAAGAAGTGCAAATGTGCAAACTGACAGCATTAACTTTCTCACTTGTACTCTCCATTATGTCTTTTTTGTAATATTCAAATGTCTTTGTTTTAGCTCACAAAAATTGTTTGTCTATCTCCAATAGCTCTGATTGGACTTGATTTCATTTTGCACCTGTTGCCAGTCTGTTTTCTGTCCAAGCTCTCCGTTGCGTAAACAGGTTAAAGATGCAAACCCTGCTTTAAATACCACCACCCCTGCAGTCTTTGCACCTGATGCCATCTATGTAGTTCTTATGCTGCGTTCGAGTTACCTTGGAAGTCTACGAAAGTTATTTTAGCACTTGTTATTTTAGTTAGTTATTTCAGCATCCCCTTTCGTAGATGTAGCCATCTTGTTTCCGCCTCCGATTTAGCTTTTTTCCGACTTGGTAACTGAAATGCTGGTAACTTGGGTGTGTCATCATTTCCAGCTCGTACATCTGACTTCCAAGGTATCTCGAATACAGCATGAATACGTGTTTTGCGAAATCTTGGCAAATCGGGCCTGTATGAACTGACCAAGAGTCCAAAAGAAAAAGAAACACAATATGAAGTCATTTTTTTCTTTAGGATTTCTGTTGAATCTAAGAATAAGCATTTCTTGATTTGACCTCATCACTTCTTCATGTCACCATATCATTTTTGGGCTTTTCTGTGCCTCAGAGAGGATAGGCAGTGGATAAAGTGGGAAATGGGTAATGTGGGGCATAGCTTCTGTTCAAAGGGGGTGCACTTAGGCTACCAGGCTAGTAGTGTCCCTGTTCCCTTCACCTCTGTCATGCAGAATAGAAACTTTACCAATTTATGATGTGGGCTATATTCTCCATCTTTCCATACTGTCCCCTCAGCAAAGGCGAAACGAAAACAAGACTGTGATGTTCCTCAGATACACAATTGTTGTTGTGTATTTTATATCACTTGCATATACTTTATATTCTTCTCTGGATATTGCATCATTCTCCTTTAAAATACAACCATCTGTGACTATGAAATACAGCACAATTTAATGTGCCAACAATTAAACAAGCATATTCCGCCATCACTCAGTAAAACCGTGTTTCCAACACTACTTGCACATCTAACAACGCCTTCACTCCATTGCGACTGATGTGCCAACCGCATGTGCACACACTGTTTTCACTTCTCACACACCTTCTCATTCTGCACTTGCCCCCTTAGTAATCAGCCTACATAAGCCAACAGTGTACAAAGCAGTTTCTTAGCACTTATTGTGCAGCAGACTGCCTGAGGGTCTGGCTTCGGCAGGTCCCATTATTACAGCCCTTTATTTAAGCGACTCCTTTCGGGCTGAGGAGCCCACAGGAGAGACGACCAGAGGAGAGCAGAGCAGAGTGCAGTTTTAGGCCTGCTGACTGCCTGAGCTGGAATGCACCAAGTCCCCAGCTGTAGCAGTCTTTAACTGCGGAATAGACTAGAGAGCCAATCTAGAGTGCAATAAGCCTGCAGCGGTGATGGTGGCAGAGCTTAATGGAGAGACAGAGAGACTGACTGGCTGGCAGAAAGAAAGAGTGGGAGGCTGAATTTTAACAAGCTCCTATAATAATGGGAAAAAGAGAGAAGGAAGGAGGAAAAGTGGAGCAGGAAAGAGTTTTAAAGAATTTACTAAAAGTACTCAGCTATATTAGAGTCATAAACTCTATCACCTTGTTAGATTTGTGAGTGGCCTGCAGGTAACAGAAAGCAAGCTTGGGACCAAGGGTTAGGGTTAGGGCATCAATCTGATTTTCAGAGCTTGCTGGCCTGAGTGGTTGGTGTAGGTTGATGCAAGCCTTTCCATCAACTGCCGTACTGAAAGTATTTGTGATCAATGCACTGAACTCTGAAATAAAAACCCCAAATTACCTCAAAGGCATAGAGAAGATATCTGAACTGGCATCTGTAACACTGGACGTGACTGAGCCTGACTTATTTAGCGAAGAATAAATCCCAAAGCTGGTTAGATATGAGAGGATTTTTAAGTGTCAAATCAAACAGACACAAGGTTCGTTATTCATGATTCTTAGTAATGGTCTATTACTGAACATATCTGCTTGCTTTAGTCAGAAAAACATTTCTGGTTGCAATTGTGAAAAATCTGATCACAGTGATAAGGTCTTATAAAACACTAGTTTAAAACTGCCATCAAGCAATTACAGGCTCATTAAACATGACTTTATGGGAGTGATATTGTTGCGCTGTAACTATTAGTGTACACTCAAAGGCAAGGTGGTGTGTAAGAAAAATGGATGCCAGGATGCACCTATGTAAAAGTCCATCAGTCAAAATTATTTTCATCTTGTTCTTATTCTGTAAAACATAGTTTGTAAGACCAAGTTTTGCTCATGATTTAGTTTAACTAATGCTGCGTTCCAGTTACCTCAGAAGTCGGATGTTGGAGCTGGGAATGACGTTACACCCGAGTTGATGGCGTTTCAGTTAACAAGTCGGTAAATTAAGATGGACGCCTATTGGCTAGCCATTATTAGCTGTTGTTAACAATTGTCAGCTGTCGTTAGCCGTTGTCAGTTGTTGTTAGTTGTTGTTTGCTATACCAGTTGTTTGCTATACCAGTTGTAAAGGACATATAACACAGTACTTTACTCTTACAAGCACCATAGCACCGTGTTCACAGTTAGACATTGGGCAGCACAACATCATTTCTTTAATTTCACAAAAACAAGACAGAAGTGCTAATAAACAATACATTACGAGAGCTTTCACTGTTACTCTTTACTGTTGATGCACTGCACTGCCAGCTTGGATTATGATGTTGTCAAGTCGGGGTTGGTGAGGATCATCCAACTTTCCGAGTCAGGAATCCGACTTTCCGAGTCGGAAATCCGACTTTAGGGGAGCGTTCCAGATGACTTCCAACTCAGAGCTTGGAAATTCCAACTTCCGAGTACAACTGGAACACAGCATAAGTTTTGGCTTTCAGGTCAAGCATAGAGTCTGGAAGATTATAGATCATGGCTGGAATGAAGCAAATTTAGCACAAAAGTCAAATTCTTCAAGGCATATATAGCAGCAAATGTAATAATAATAATAATGCATCAGATTTCATATAGCGCTTTATCAGAGACCCTCAAAGCGCTTTACAATGGATACATCATTCATTCGCTCACACAGTCCTACTAAAGGGCTATTCTGCAATGCCTTTTGCAGAGGGTATGTTCATTCATTTAAGATATGAATGAGTAAGAATGATGTCTTATAAATGTGGCAAGGGGGTGCTATTTTATTCAAAAATAGAGAATATTGTCTCCAACCAGCAACGCCACCTGGGGACTTGCACCCCAGGAAACTGAACTTTCAAACTAAAACAGGAAGCTAAAATAAGAATAAAGGCAACACAGGTAAGTTCTGAAGAGGCAGAGACAGAGTTCAAAATATTTCAAAATGTTTATTAGATCAAAAAAATGAAGTTAAACGTAAATATAACTGAGAAATTTAACCTAGGAGGGAAAGAAAGGGATAAAGTTAAAACAACATAACAAAACACAGATAAGGGGCAAGAAAGTTAATTTTATTTCTATAATAAAATTTAAAACAAGGCCTTCTACAAGAGTTAAAAAGTACAATAACCCCAACTTAAACTAAATCAAAGAAACCCAAACTAAGTTAACTTAAGATAAGCTGAGGCCACCAGAAGGGAGGCAGACTACAGAGGGAAAGTGCAGGGGGTGCTCCCTTATACTCACCAAGTGAAGCACAGCACACACACTGCAAACCTTCAACAAAAGAAACAAAATCGGTGTAGTCTTGTGACCCGGTGCCAAACTCATGCAAAGGTGGAGGGCCCTCACCCGGGGTGCCTAGCCTCCCAAACTAGTGGGCTCAACCTCTGAAATAAAATAAAAGGATTAACCAAAGAAACAAACAAACAAACCAGCGAACCCAGTTGGTAAAACTAGAGGGAACTAAGGAGAAAAGCAACTAAGGGTAACTAAGAACAGAATGCAAACTAATGGGGGAGTAACTGTGTAAAACAACCAAACTTAGAAGTAGAAACAAACCAAGTAAGGGGGGAAACCAATCAAAAGGGCAGAAACAATCAAAGTAAACAGGCAAAAATAACTACAATTAATGGGGGCAACAAAACAGCAGCAGGTCTACCACCTACAAACAAAAAGGACATGCTGTTAAAAGCAATCATAAAACTCTAAAGATTAAAAAGTTACCAGCCACCCTACTCACCAGCACTCTGAGCAGATCAGAAGGCCGACTGCAGGTGAGCTGCTGCCTTTTGTTCAGCTGACCTGATTAGGGGAAGGGAGGGGTTAGAGGAGGAGGGAGAGCTGCATTCAATAGCAGCAAGGTGCTGCCTGCCACATAAAGTATCATTGGTATAACTGACAAGATGAGGAGGCATGTCTTTTACACCACTTAGCACTGCATTAACTCATACATTTAATTTAAAAGTTCCAAAATCTGTCTGACACATTCCTTTTCTTATTTCTTCTGAAAATGGTTTGGCATTTGTCAAATCCTCCAGGGTGACTTTTAGTCTAATTGTATTACAGGGTGCATGGGTATCATTTTGCTCTTACCAGAACAATCTGGCAAGGTTAGTTGAGCCATGCTGAGATTAGCAGATTAACTAAATTGAATGTCTCCTAATCCTGTGATTCATCTTTGGTCTTTACCATAAATCAAGATAGTTCAGTATTGAACATACTTAATTTCTACTGAAGATACATTTGACAAAACCAATTGGTGTGTCCCCTTTGGTTATCACAACCAAGGGGAGATACACATGAGAGATCTGAAGAGTAACATACTTAACTTTTACCCGGCTATAGCAAAAGCTATGCAAACAGCCTAAGGCTAGCCAAGCTGCTGCATATAAAGTGATATTTGGAGGGAAAAGGTGACAAATGGATGGAGCTAAGGGATGAGAAAAGGAAAGCATAGGGACAGGATTAAAGGTAACCCTCTGAGTACATTAAACAGACAGAGGAAAGATAAACACTGCAGGGGTTGAGGGTATGAACTAAGTAAGAGGAAAAGATATAAACTGTAGGTTACTTCCCCAGTCAGCCCTCATGGGCAGCCCGGAGCTTCTTATAAAGTCTCTCTCACTGGTCCTGCACCATGACCAGATCACACCAGCAAAAAAGGGAGCAGAGGTTAGAATGGAAACATAGACAGTGGATAAATACAGGCATGTGCTCTGCAGTTTGGGTTCAGTAGAGTTATGTGCCCTGTGTACACAATCAAAATGTTGTACATGTGTCTATTCATTTGTTCATCTAACCTTTCTGTAATACAGTCAGTTGATGAAAAGAAAAGAAGCATGCAACTAAAATGTTTGTTGGTTTTACATTTTCTTATCTATTTGCTTTTTTTATTATTATTTTAGAACACCACTTGAAACATGTCTTCCATTGCCAGCCTTTGGATCTGATTCAAAAGCAGAACCCGACACAAACACAGTGGAGGGGATTGAAAGTGACCTTACAGGTAATACACATGCACTTGAACGCACATGCACACACCATTGTGTTTTCATGACCAACTTTAGGAACTAAAAGAAAATGTTAAAATAAATTTTCTGATGTGCAGACTCAAAGATGAAACCATGGATACAGTAGTTTGACAGATGTCCCCCACATACTAAGTGTGTACCTGTACACAAACACATGTTCATTTATATGTTCAAAACCATTAATGTCCCAAAGGTAAAAAGCCTCTATTTCTTAATGCATGGAGGTGTCAGTGCCTACCCATCCATCCCAGGCAGTGTGATGGGTAATCCCCCCTATGATTGTGTGGCTAGAACACTGTTAGAGGCGCCTCATGCTTGACAGGTTGCACTCTACGTAGGTAAGGAACTGGGCTGGGAGAGGGGACTTAGGGTAGCCCTGTAGTCTGGATCTCAGGGCCTGTAGCTCATCAGTCAGGGTATAGTCCTGGCTGTCTGGCCCCCAGCTGAGGCTGTCAGGAAATGGGGTAGGCTGCGGTTATCTCTCCCCTCCCAAACCTCCAGACCTCAGGGCTGACAACTTGCCTCTCATAACATCAATCAAGATTTGCTCCAAACTCGACCTTGTTAGGATCTACTAGTCCTTGTTTGCTCCTTTCCCCACTGCTGTCTATCACAAATAGTTATTGCTTTAAAGCATTTTCAAGGTTGAAATGCTTGCCTGAGCTCCCCACAGTAAAAACAAAAGTCTAACATGGCAAATTGCTTGTTCCACTATGATTCTTTATGATCCAGAGTGTCTTTAAAAGAACTAGGTGAATATTATACTTTCAAATAGGGTTTTGCAGCTCTTTATTGTGTCAGATTTAATAAATGATATCTTAACTACACATTAAAAAATTTGGCACACAAGTCTTACAACTTTTATTTAAAAGTTTTTACTTTCACCATCTGTGGCTCTCTACGCTGCAGCACCTTCAATAACGCCTGCCATTTTGACCCTGTTCCAGACATACAAAACACTTTTATTTTGCGTTCACACTTCAGACAAGCACTTAGATATCAGTGTGACCTAAAAAACAAACACTTTATTTTGGAGGACTTCATTGCACATCAGTGATCTTTGGGCAAATTTCTGGTTTGTTGTTAGCCGCATGTAGAGCAAAGGAGAAGTTCAACTGTGACCTCGGCATACTTCAGTATGGATAGAAAGCTATTAGGGACCCGACTGCCTCATTCAGGCATTGCTCTTGGGGAAGGATGAAGGCCTTAAGTTCAGTTATAGTCATTTATTTCAGAGATTGTTGCAAGTTTTCATAAAGTCATGCTTAGTTAAAATTGCTCTTAAGAAAGTCAAGGGGTTTGGACCTTTTATTAAAGGTCAGAGTTCTTGTCAACTTCATTCTCCTGAGGCCAAAAATTTTATTTCAAGGGTGCTGAGGGAAAAGTACAAAACACAAACTATGTACAAGCAAGTCTTCAGATACTGGTAATAGCAATGTCCCTCTGCACACGATTGGGTTATTGTGAATAAATTTGATGTGATGTGCCGGAGATCTATAAAAGCTAAATCAAGAAACATGAAGCAGGATGGACGTACAAACAAACAAAAAACAAAAGAGTCGAGATTTCTGTTCTTGCTGATTTTTGTGACACAACCCCAGCTGTTAAAAAAGGGAAAACTGAAGTGAAATCACAAAATCTTCAACAGTTACTGTGTCGGTCAGATAATTTGAAGCCTTTGTTGCTTGACGTGATTCAAACGAAGATGCAAAAAAGTGAAAACTCACAATATATTAGTGTGCTGGGCAAAAGCCAATTATTTTGACTTTGTATGGCAGCTACTTTGGCCAGGTCTTTTTTCTAAAAGTGATTTCCAATTTCGATGGGACTTCCTGGTTGAATAAAGTTGAAATAAAACTTTAAAAAATGACTGATTACTGCGCTTGGTATGTTTCGTCCTAGAATGGTGCAAAATAAGTATATAAATGTGCTTTCTGATGGTAAAAGACTTTAAATAGAGACACACTTAGAAGCTTGGGTCAGAGATTCTAAATGTTAGCTAAATTAGTGGTGGCAATGACTCCTTTTGTGATGGTTCATAGCCTAGCTTCAGTCCTCTGGCTGCTTTCTTAACAAAGGGGCTGAGCTGACTAAGATTCCTTGTGGCTAATACAGCTGCTACTGACAAGTACCTCATACAACCCCACTTAAAGAAACTATCCTTTCACACAAGTTATACATTTATATGTTATCAGTTTTCTACTTTTCTGTTACTTTTTAAAACATTTTCAAGTGGTTACGGCACTCCAGTGCTTGTCTCCTTAAAGTTTTTTCATATCATGAATTTCATTTCAGTCTTTTCTCAGTTTAATAATTGATATTTCATTTCTCAGTGATAAGCAGATGTGAGGAAGACAGCAGCATCTTTGGGAAATGTAAAGCTGTTCACAAACTGATAAACTATTCCCTCCACCTGCTTCAAACTTTTCTGACGTCTGACAATTACAACAGGTTGCAGACTCTCTCCTCCCCTCTTGGCTTTGAATCTTGGAAAGGATGGGCCATGTGTGTGTCTATGAATAATAAAAGCTGTTTTCATGCATCATGTTGAGAACAGCCCCTTGTTTTCGAATCTCACATCCCTGAGCTGTCAGAGTCATGTGGGGACGTTATAGAAGAACTGTTGCTAAGTTAGAGAGGGGCAGGCGGGTAGCTTACAACAATAAAACACATAACTACATCAGTTCAAGAAATTACAGATCAAGCAAAGAGAGCAGGAGATTAAAGCAAAATAAATGAAACTGCTTTTTGTTGTAGGAAAACAATTAGCATGTGGTGTGAATTATTATAAATCATACTAGAAATATAAACTTTGTTTTCTGTCATTGTCAAGTTAGAACATGCGGTCTTACATGTGTATTGCTGCAGCTAAGCTGAATATTTTGACAGACAGATAATGTGAGCTTGTCTGCTGTCGTCAAAGAAAGAAAATCGTGTCCAAGAAAAAGACCTCTGTTCAACCCCTGCTGTGTCAGCAACATTTTTCCGCTTAGGTAGAGAAACAATAAAGATCGAGGTTTATGGCTCTGATGTCTGATCTCAAGAGGAGTAAGGTGTAAGAAAAGAATAATCCCCTATCATGTGGAGTGTCATCAAATGTCCACTGGCATCTTTCACAGGTATGAAGCTCCTGGAGGCACATGCTGTTTGAAATCACAACTACGTTCGACTCTTCACTTTACATCACACTTTAACATGGAAACAAACTTAGTTAAAAGCAACAGTAAACGTAATCTGGATGCATTTTTGTGTGTCTATGTGTGCATGTGTTTACAGCCGAGGAGGAGGAGGATTTTACGCGCTACTTTGCATCGTTGTTTGCTGTTCCTGTTAGCAGTGGCAGGAATGAGACTCTGATTACCACACCTGAAACAAGCCTGATCATAGAAGTCCTGGATGAGGTGAGAAAGTCTGATGCCCTCAGACTTTAACCTTCTTCAACAAAGATGGTTTGACTGGCATAATGTACTTGAAGTCTTAACAGTTAGTATTATATTCCTCATTTGTCTCATTTAGGTGTTACATCAATGTCCTTTTTTTCTACAGATAGAAGAGGACAAAGATGGAGCTTTTGTTTCTGAAAAGGGGACAGACAGTAAAAGAAAGTAAGCCCCAATTACAAAGGGATCTATCTATCTATCTATCTATCTATCTATCTATCTATCTATCTATCTATCTATCTATCTATCTATCTATCTATCTATCTATCTATCTATCTATCTATCTATCTATCTATCTATCTATCTATCTATCTATCTATCTATCTATCTATCTATCTATCTATCTATCTATCTATCTATCTATCTATCTATCTATCTATCTATCTATCTATCTACATTGCTAGCTAGCCATCAGACATAGGCAAGCAATTGAACAAACAAGAGAACTCAACACAATTTTTTAAGTTGTTGATTTAAAGGGCCCCCTTTAAATGTGTGTGCTTGACTGATGGGGGGGGGACAATTTCTGAAACTGGTCCAGTACAGTATAAGAATACACTGAGTCTGTATTTCAGACATTTTTCTTTTAAACATATAAATATGGTTAATATTGCACTAAGATAGTTTCTATGAAAAATGCCAAGTGCCGGGAAAGTTTTGTAGAACCTAAAGGTGGAATATAAATCACAGCTGTTTCTCATGTAGATATCCTTCTGGTCAGCAAGCTCTCAATGATGGGAACACACAAGTCCCCCAAACAGCCAGAGGTGAGTCTTGAACATAATTCTTGCAGAAAAACTTAAGAAGAAAAAAAACAAAAATTAAAGTAGAAAAAAAAACAAAAAACAATTTAATGCCAAAGCTTCAGATCTTGCCTGCTCAGCACCCTTGCGAAAAGCCTTGCGTTACTGAATGTTTTGTCATGGGTTTCAAAGATGATCTCTCAAGAGTGTTGAGGCGCACAGCTGAAGCTTCAATATGCTTGATCTGTTTCATGCTAAATGCTAATAAAATAATCACTGAAATGAATTTCTCTTGCAAATATGGTATACATTTCAGGATCTCCTGCAGGTGACAGGCTAAAACTATGAACAGTATTTTGTAATCAGTGAGGAATATAGGCCTACAGTGTAATGGATAAAGTTATTCCTCAGCAAAGTTATGAACAACTAGTTACCTTGTGGTCAAGACACTGCACATCTGACTTTCAGAAGAGATGTATTCACTGACTTTATATGTGGAAAGTGGGAGCAAATCCTAACGCAATTGAGTAATAGTAGATAGTTTAGTAGAGTGCAGTGCCGTCAAGTTGAGCAGTGTCTGGTCCTGTGGTGTTATGTTCTGAGATGACACCGAAAAACTCCTTTAGTGGTTGTGCTTCTGAATGAAAAATTATGTTACCACGTGCCGACAAAGGCAGCTTATATCGTCATTGTTATTTGTGTTATCTTTTGGCACAGCACTGTCCTCTAAAAATAAGCCTTCATCATGCCCCACTGCTGCGACTCCGAGGACTTCAGAGAAATCAATCAAGACACCAACCTCAAAGTCACGAAAGCCTTCTTGCTCCCCCATTGTCCATAAATCAGAACCTGACTGCGGATCACAACAACTTGTGTCCTCATTCTCATTACCAAATTGTCAAACTGTGACCCCTAAATCCTCTCACTTTACTGCCTCTTTCCTGCCTGATGTCTCTCCTTCGGCTAGTGCCACACCACCAATCCCAAAAGAGCCTCTTTCCCGTTGTTCCTCAATACCTTCATCTCTTAGGTCCACATACACAGTGTCGCCATCAAGCTCCACTGAATCAACTTTGCTGCCCACAGTCTACCAATCGGCCACATTAGAAAAAGGCTCAGACTCATCTCCGTTACCAGAACAACCCCAATCTTCCAAGTTATTGCCACAGTCAGTCTCATCGGTAAGGCTTTTCCAATCACCTACGAGCAATCTGCAGCTCCAAAGCCAATCCCAGCATTCCCTTTTTGACCCTGAGACTCTCCTATCACATAATCAACTCCAGCTGACTCCATCACCACCGTCCCTGAGTCCAAACCTGCCACCAAGACTTCTGGAACCAACTCCAGCCTCAAGATCAGCTGCATATTCTGGACACAGATCACCTCCAATAAACGAGGATGCTCCATTTTTTATGTATTTTACCTCAGTCTCCGGTGACCATGAATCAGCTGTATCTCAAAAGGCTGCACAGTGTTCTCAGACAGTATCATCCTATCAAACAGAAGTTTTTCAAAACTCTCCTGTAGCTGTGAAAATGGATGAGGAAGAGGAGCTTCTGATGGGTAAGTGATATGTTATCTCTCTCACTCTGTTTTGGTGATATGATAAGTTACAGTAAGTAAGTGAACTACACTTGTTAGGTACTTGGTATGTAAAAAGTATCAGAACTGCCTAAATTCATTCTTCAAAAAGCATTTACAAAATCCATGTTTTTTCTTTTAATGTTTTTTTTTTTTGTTTTGTTTTGTTTTGTTTTGGCGTAAGATTTGGAAGGAAGATTTCCACTGATAATCAGCATTATTTTCAACCTTATTGGCATAAAAAAGACAGAAATGGTCAGTGTGGGTTTCTGATACCCTCAAGCAAGAAGAAAAGAGGCAAAATTCAATGGAAAAACACATTTTCAAAATGCTTGGACAAGAGCAATTTTTTTGTTAGTCTCAAGCCTGTTAGATTGGGATTATTACCGAAAATTTTCATTTTCAAAATGGCAAAAGGTTTAAGATTAAGCTAATAAAACCTTGATTTTTTTCTTGATTTTTTTCTTTGAAAGCAAAAAAAAAAAGAGTGCTATACATTTTTAAGTGAAAATTTAACAGTTTAAACAATTTCAAACCAGTAATAATGATGGTCATTAATCCCAGTAATTATAAGAATTATTGTTGAACAATGTGGAGAATAACTCTAGAGCAGTGGTTCTCAAGTCCAGTCCTCGATTCCCCCCCGTCCTGCATGTTTTGGATGTTTCCCTGCTCCAACACACCTGATTCAAATGATCAGCTCGTTATCAAGCTCTGAAATGGCTTAATAACGAGCTGATCATTTGAATCAGGTGTGTAAGGCAAATAGACTCTGTGTTAAAATGTTCACCTACACATTCCTACTTTCCATTTGCATTACCACTATCTCTGCTTTAGGTTAATTCTCATGTAGTGGTTTGCTTTAAAACTTCACAGTGAGATTCACAGAAACTTTTTGACTTCAGACTTCAACTTTTGCCTCACCTATCCACGTAGTTTGAGCAACATACTGCAGATGCACTGGTATTGACTTTATAATGTATTTTCTCATGTAGACAGTGGAGATGAAATATCCAGTGATAGCCTTGGTCTGACTCCACATGAGGAAGAGTCTTCAGATGAAGAGGCACACATACACAGACACTTAATGAGAGGGAGATGCCGAGAAAAAGAGCAAAGGAATCCTGGCATATCTCATCCAGATGATCCCCTTGTTGATGCAGAAAAAGAAGAATTTCAGACCAATGAGCAAGAACAGCTGTCAGAACCAACCATGGTATCATGTTTTATTACTCTCACTTGTTTCCTGCTTCTTTGAGAGAAAAAAAAAAGCTTGGGCTAGAAAGCTAAAATATCACTATTTTTCTATAGAACATACATTTCTTGCCTGTAAGCTATATTTGCATTTGTTAATTGATCGATTGATGGACAGCATTTTAATCACATTTCATGCTCACTAAATGCCCAACCCTCAGGGGCTTACAAAATACAAGAAATGCAGTTTCATTGGTCCAGTAATGCATTGCAAGTATTACAAAGTTGCATGTTCTGCTTATCTATAGGCAACATATTCAAACTATCCCTCCAGGCTATAAAGGGTTCATCTTCTTAAAAATGGCATAGATTTTTTAAATCATCTAACCAGAAGTAATCAACATTATTGGAGGTCATTTTACAAAAAGTACATTTCAGACAGTGTAATGTAAATGTAAAAGGAATTTTCTTTCTCAGTTCAATTCTCATTCACCTAGTTCACTCAACAAGCAAACTCTGTCCTCCTCTTAAATGGCATCAGACCTGCCAGTTTAAAGCTCAAGGTCACGACCTTGCATAACTACACACAAATGGATCTTTGCCTTTTGCTTCAATCAGACTTATAATTGATTCTTTTCTGTCACTTGGAATTGGATATAGTAAAAAAAAATATTGCAATGTTTTCCTTTCTGCATTTCAGATAGTGACATGCAAACCTACATGAATATTAAAGTATTATGCAGTCGATACTTATATTATACCACATTAAAGCAGCATGCTCCATGTACCTAAACAAATTAAAATTTTATAAACACAATCGTACTTGATAATTTGGATCCTTGACCCTATTTTCTGCTTTAACCCACCATATCCAGCCCTCTGACATTCACCTGGAGAAGTAGAGACAAAAGTGGGATAGGGTGGGCTACAGAAGGAGGGACAGGCTACTTCCTGAACTTTCCTATTCATTGGAATGAAATGTTTTAAATGTCTTCATCACTTTGTAGTGACATTTGAAATTATGTTTACTCTGCATCATCAGCCCCATGACAGTAAATTCTTAGTGAAGAAAACTCACTTTGTCCTTTTACAAAAAATTTGGTAACACTTTACAATAACCATAACTTATAATGGTAAATAGACCATTTACAAATGGTAAGTAGATAGTTTATTAATGTTTAATCATCATTTATAAATAGCATATAGACCATTAATAAATTGTAAATTTTACAATTTTAAAAACCTAACCCTAACTTTACAATAACCAAAACAAAATATTAACCATTTACAAAGTGCTACTGACACACATTTTAATCTAAATGTTTTACAACCAATATTTAAACCCTATATAAACCTTTAATAAATAGTCTGTTAATAATTAATGAAAATTATTAATCCTAGTTTCATTGCCTGTTAATGGTTAAGTAACTATTAACTTACATTAATAAACTATCTTTTTGCCATTTATAGTTGGTCTATATTGTGTTTTAGAATAGAATAGAATATTCCTTTATTGATCCCCCATGGGGGAAATTTTTTAAATGATTATTAAACATTAATAAACTATCTTCCAATGTTTTTTGTTAAGTGTTACCAATGGTTTTTACAGGTGTGAAAACAGAAGGGTAACACTCAGTGCTCTTATTGACTGTCTTTTTGTGTATCCATATCACAAATGCACACCAGGGCAGGGTGCTGGGCTAGTACCTACCTACCCTGAAACAGGAACTTAAAAGGTTCCTATAAACATAGTTTCAGGAGCTGTAATAGTGTATAGTTCCTGTGCTGCAGGATCAGAAAAAGGGAGGGTTCCTTGAACTATAAAAAGTTCCTGTGGTCAGTAAATTTTGAAGCTGGCATACTTTTGGTTTTTGTTTTTGTTGCACAGATGGAAAGCATAAACTGAACCCAGTGTCCTATTTGAATGTCATAATTGTCAAAAAGGCTCTTACAGGAACATCCAAATTCACTCATATTATCTTTTACGTATCTCTAGTCCCGTGTCCAAATTAATAAATGTGCAAATTTAAAGAGAACCACGGTGGACACAATCCTGACACAGAATGAGAATACTTAAGCAACACACAGTTTGAGTTCTATATTGCAGCTGACCAGATCTATTAGATAGCATCTGTATCACACTAATTACTCTGCATTATTCATCTACTACTCAGAGACACCTAGGGCAGCAGTGTTAAAGGTGTACACCATGGAGGGAAGAAAAGAGAAACAGAGTAGATTAAAAAGACCCAGCTTGAATGGTCCTAAATGACCTATCAGCTATTTAATGGTATGAATCCTTTATACTGTTGCAGAGGAATGAAAAGGGGGGCTGTGTTTTATTAAAAAGCTGGAGCAAGATGAGGTTCATGATTGGGAGGATGGTGGTTATCTGCGGCCTTTGGACCTGAATCAAATGGCCCCCTAAAATGATTAGATAGTAATTTTTCTGTCTTCTGGCTCAATCTTCTTTAGTCTTTTGTCCCCCATTTATTTCACCACCATCCTGTAGTTCAGAAGGCTAGTTAAATGTGAAGTCCTTTTTTAAATGAGGACACAAAGAAAACTGTAGTAGTTCCTGCTGCGAAGTATCATTTCCTCTAGTCTCTTGGGCATTCATTTATATCCCGGTCGTCTTTCTCTGTCTTCCTCTTGTCATTCTCCATCTTTACTCCTTCCTCTCTCTCCGAGCAAAACTATTCCCCCTTGCCCGCCCTCCTATTTTCTTCAGGCCCATCTGCAGTGTCTTTGCATTGCTATCGCTAGCATGCTAATGTGTCAGATCTAATCTTAACTAAACAGAGCTTCCTTATTTTACCCCCGTCTCACTGGAGGACGCTTGCACAGAGAGAACAGTTAACGGACCACGCCGCTGTGAGATGCTCTCTGCAGCTCCAGGGGTTAATTAAAAATCGATTCATCAAGTGGAAACAAAGGAAACAGGGGGTGAGGGGGAATAATATCCAATGAAAGACAGCAGCTTATTGATATGCATTTGCACAAAAAACACACATTTCAACACACCTATCTCATGTAATAGAAGCTCTATTGATATTGGATTTTGGTTTGTCCTTTGAACTGAATTTTTGAAGACAGAATTGAAACTCAAACACTGAGATAGACATATTAATTCCTATTTTCCTCTGGACTTTCCCTTTCTCTTTTCTCTTTCCTCTATTTCTATTCCCTCCTCCTTTCTATCTCCTTCTCTACTCCGTTCATGAGCTATTTTTTCTTCACATTTCACCTTTCTGATCTGCCTCCTATTGTGCCTCATCTCTTCATCACATCCTCTAATGATCTGACTTTCTGCTTCGCTCCTTTTTCCTAAATTTCACTCACTTTCTTCTCCTCGCTCTTCCTCTGTCTCCTGCATCTGTCCGTCTGTTTCCCTATCCCCTCAGGTGATCCACAGGCAGAGTGTTGGGTCTGGATCAGAGCACTTCTGCGATCTGAAAAGGTTTCTGCCTCTGGGTTTGGACATGAATTCCAGTGACTCCGATGCACCAGAACACAGATGCCCTGACTCACTGCATACAAGCCGAACTTCAATGTGTGGTTCGAAACTTGGAGGTAAGTTAAAGGTAGAGTTAAAGTCTCCTGAAAGGTCCGTGTTGGTTCCTTTTTTTTGAGCTTTTCTATTTTAAACTGGCTCATGTTTTTCCATAAACTGCATCAGAAAGTGCTGTTGCTGTTTTTGTGCTTCAAGAGATTAGATTGTGAAGATTACCTCTGTGTCCAACTTTTGCCTGGAGATACTTTCCAATTTGCAAGCGTTATTCATATCACAAAGGCCTCATAATAGGATTTAGAACAAATATGTAAAAACGTAGAGCTTACAAGAGAGATGAAAATGAGTTTTAAACCCAGAGGAGCCTTAGCTGCTTGGTAGAAAACGAGTGATGGGGGACAACACTGATAATTCACTACCCGTGGGTCCAGTGGGAGGTTTCTTGAAATATCTTTTTATTTTGCCTGTGTGTGTGCGCGTGTGTGTGTGTGTGTTTCTACACACACATCTTACTTTTTGTGTGCTTCCGTTTCAAACTTATATTTAGTGTCTTCTTTTTCTTAAAGTGTTGGTAAAGAGAGTTACATATTTCATCACAAAGGCGTTTGCTCAGACAGCTCAGCCTTTTCTGTTTTACTTTTTCAGATGAGGAGTGTAGATAATAACACAAACTTTACTTTCAGGGGAATGTTGAAAGGCAAGTGTTGTCAGTGCAATACTACCCGTCATATTCAACACCCCTGACAATGTGCCATCTTTCTGTCCAGAAAATGTCGGGGAAATACAGCAGTAATGTACACAAAGCTTTGAAACTTTGTTGTACTCATTTCTGTTGCTTTCACTTGATTTTCCACGACAGTATGCCTGTGAGAAAACTAGTCATGGCTTGTTCCTTTTCACTCTGTCTATATTTCTTTCATTGTGTGTAACTCTTTGAACTACACCAGGCAAATGCTGCTGTAACAAGATAGCTTTCAAAGCTTTTGGCATTAACTGTGTCTGGGTGTTTTTACACTAATGGTTTGTAAACAGGCTGTGTCTGTGAGGTGCCCAGAAAGTTCCACAAGACTCCGGAAAGTCCAGCTTGATTTTCCAGATTGCATCAGACTTAAAGAAATAAATAGCGTATAAAACAAAACAAAACCACTTTTTGCTCTTTTTTTTTAGAAGTCTTGTCGATGGATGTTGAGCTTCAGGTCCTTACACACTGGGAATGACGCAAATATACAACAAAAAATTATGTAATATTCAGAGGTGAATTTTGACACACCTCACTATACACATCAAGCGGGATGCGATTCTGCGGACTGCAGACTGACTGTTTTTCAGTTTTGCTTAGACACTATGTTGAGATGGCTGTCTGTCATGATAGCATGTACTGAGTTGGGGTCAGTACCAGATTAAACTATAATCCATAAACGTAAAGTAACAACCGAGACCTAATGGTGCTGTGACAGCAATGTGATTGAGTTTGAGACAGTGAAAATACATATAGTATGTTGTATCTGAACAGGTTAGCTTACAAGCTAAAGTTACCTAGCACAGATGAAAATTGAAACAAAGATGTTTAGCAAACTGTTAAAGCACACAAACTATCGTCACATGAGAAATCTGACACTATGACTCTCCACAAGTTGTCCTTCAGGTCGTTATCTTTGTAATGTTTGTGTCTTTTATCAAAAAGCACTCTGTTCTCTGACACGTAAACAATTAGCTGGTCGGCCATGTTGGATATACCGGTGAATCAGATGTCGCAACAACACGAAATCTGATCGGTCAGAAGTGGACACACAGTATGCGAAACTTTAAAAAGTCGACCGTGATACGAAAAAATAAATGCCGCAATATTGCAGGACGGGAAAATGTCGCTGATGTGAACGCTTGTATTGACAGGATATGGGTTCGAAAAAATATTGATGTTCAAAATAATCGCACGAAAAAAACGCTCCCCGGTGTGTAAGGACGTTTCATCTCCAACAGTTGTTACTGCTTTGGTAAAGCAAAGATTTTTGATTAGATCCCCTTGTCGTTTGAGTAAACAGGTATGCTAAATAACCTTCATCAAGCCGTAAAGCTCCACTTTCCACTGCGTTATTGTCAAAGCCTCTGTCAAATGAATGAGGTTGACAGTGAGGGGCTCCCACAAGGGCGCCACTGCCTTCCTCTCACCACGCAGCCAGCCGCTCATCAAACCCTGCTCTGTCTCTGCCACCGTTGTTCAAGCTCCAAAGTTAATGAGAGAGAAAGGTTAGAGAGGAGGAATATCACCTTGACAACACTCCACACTCATTTATGTCCCTCCATCCCTCCATCTGTCTACCCAGTTTTTTTTTTTTTTCTGACAGGGCTGAGATCCAACAGGTTTTATATGTCTCCTGCCCCACCTTTCCACCTCTCTTCCCCTTCTGCTCTTACTCTCCATCACCTGGTCACTCTGAAAATGAGGTTGTTAGTGTGCAGATTCTGACTCGTGTGCATCCACTCGTACAGAATGAGAGAGAGACAGATGGACTGACAGACAGGCAGCACACTTAACAATTCTCGATGGGGAGAGAAAGATAGAAGAGGGATACAAGCAGCTGGATGGAGAGACAGTTTGACAGAGTTCCTGTATTCTACAATATTACACTGTTTTCCAAGTATAAATTTCCAAGCCATCTCTGTTTAACCTGCATGATTTCAAATTAGCTGAAACCCTCTTTATTATCTTTTGGTGAGTTTAGAGGCTTGCTGCCTTACTCCCTTTCCCTTTTCCTCTTTTCATTTGCAGCTGATTTAGACTAGTTAGTAGATTCTCCATCCAGTCAATAGCATTAATTGATTGGCTAACCACTGGAGAGAACGAAGAAAACAGGAGCAATTGCAGTGCTGCTGAGAGACTTGTTTGGTACAGATACCACTGCTTAATAGAAAGATGGATCGATGTTTCAACTGTAATGTATTAAATCTATTTACTTTGTATTAGGATACAATAACATACATATGCTATATCTATTTACGTTGTTAGTTTTCTTGAAATGTTTATGTTGCTTTCTTCTCCAAGTACAGTAGAAAGAAAAGACTGACTGGCAAGAAGGTATCCTATAAAATGAAATAATCCAAGTTTTCTTTTTTTATGTGTAACCATTTTCTTTTTAAAATTGATTTACAGCTTTGATAAACTGTTTGATTCACACGGAGACTTGTATTCTGTGTTGTGTGATAACTCCTCTGAACTCCAAAAGTTATTTCATGCATTTGTTCTGTACCAGATAACACTTTTGGAGTTTGATAGCAAAGCAAATGCATTGCTATTTCCATTTGACAGACATACATCGCTGTAATAGCAGTGTGACATTGCGTGATCTGTTTCTTTCTGTTTCATTTCGCTTGCATCCCCGCAATGTTGTTAAAGCATGAAAAAGGTGATTAAAGCATGATGGAGTGAAGTTTCGGGATGCTGGCACAGATGTTGTAAAGAAGTATAAAACTGTTTTTTTAACAACGGTTGCGCCTAATTTTCAAACATTTTATGTTTTAACTTAAATTTGATGTTTCCTCACTCTTGCTTCTTCTTTAACACGTTAAGGATCAGATGATTTTAGGCTCAGCAGCAGCAGCAGCAGCAGCCTCACACCCTACACTTAGGAGCACCTGGTTATCAGATTGATGGCGTAAAAGCACATGCAGCCAGCTGGAATCAGTATTCAGTCAACCACACCCACCAGGAGAGGAGAAATATCACCAACTGCATTCCCAGCTCTTTCTCCCACTGATTTATTGTCACGTTCGCAGATGTCGATTTCTAACTATCAGTGTTCCTCAGTTTTGCACATAGCTACACTTTCTTGGCACTAATGTCCACGTTTCTTACAGAGATTATCCCGTATCACACTCAAAACACAAACAAGCCCAAACACACAAACACTGTACCTACTGTATATACGCATGCAGGATTGGGAGTTGTTCCAGTAGTGTGTCTTGCCATCACTTCTGTTACTTCAGTCTCAGATACACCACAGTAATGGGTTTATGCTTATATACACATTCACATGCTTGCACACTAATACATAGACACCTGAGGGAAAGGACAATAATCTGTTTTATACACTATACTGTATATAAATCCTCTATCCTGCACTGCTGATCAGTCTTTTTTACTGTGCTGTGAATAACTTATTAAATCCAACCATTTTTTGGCTCAGGTGGTTGAAACTGTCAAGCCATTCAGTTAAAATATTCAGTGCTAAACTTTGATGGTATTAGGCCAATCACTCTCAGAAAAAATGGAGTTAAATACACCAAAGATGAGTTGTATAAAAGATCAAAACTCATTTCACCACACGTGGAAACCTTCTCAACATATATAGTTATATTATAGTAGGGGTTTTGGAGAGCTTCACATGTTTTTCACTGATGTTCATTCTGCAAGGGGACTTATAAGCACAGACAAGCACAACACTTTATCTATGCTGCTTTATGTGTTTTTATCCATCATGCGGAAGAGATTTGTTACTGTGTGGATTTGAATAAAATTTACAGTATATATCATGTATGAAGAGTCTATAACATAGGTATAATATTCACATAGATTTATATACAGTATATACAGCCAGTGCTTGTAAAGGATTGGAGATTAAATGTGACCCTTCCAGGAAACTGTTGAAGAAAGTAATTAAGAGATCCAAGATTTTAATCTCAATCTCATTTTACACTTAACTTAATTTAAACCATGTATCAAGCTTTATCACAAATTAAAATCTAGATGTACTGTATGTTGTTTCGTCTTAGAAGATAAGGCGAATTCACCCTAGGACTACAGTATGTGTCTGTGTAAGAGCACGTGTTAGCAGCCCCTGTACAGCTGGCATCATTTCTCCCATGGTGTTTAGTTTGACAGTCAAGGTGCTTGTGAAGCACTAAGTGGAGGTTCTGTGCCGGTTGAAAGACAGAACCCGGCATAGAGAGAGAGCGGGAGGAGGGACAAAGGAGTAGGGAGACAATGGAAAATTGAAAGAATGAAAGACTTAACACTTGAGCTGGTTAGACGGCACCCAGCATGAAGAATCAGTGTCCCCCACACACACACATGCACACACACACACACATACACTCATGCACGCCCACACCATCATAGCTTCTCAATGGGGGCCTCAGTGTAATTTACAGTGAGCAGGTGGGATGGATGTTCAATCTGATTCAATTTGATGTGGCTCGCAGGAGTGGGATGAGACACCACTCATTCCACTGACTGTTGTGATCGCTTCTCTCCTGTCTGTCACCCTCTTTCCCTGAGTCCTGTGCTACATACTCCTCCCCTTCTTACTTTATTTCTCCTATCTTCTTGCATTCTCCCCCTCTGTTTTTTTTTCTCACTCACATTTTTGCCAGTTTTTTTTTTACCTGATGTTTATTCTTCAATCTCTTAAAATTTCCCCACGCCTTCATTGGTAGGATTGGGATCCAACCCATCAAGCAAGTCTACACTAACTCTGTGTCACCCTGCGAAGACAAACCCCAGGTCTCTGTTCTCACCAATCTCTCCTATCCTCTCTCATTGTTCAGTATTGCGTTCGAGGTCCAAGGCAGCCCAGGAGATCATGGAGATCTGTCGTGTGGATAAGACTGGCTGCGAGGACCCAAACCTGGACAATGACACAACTTCACACATACTAAATGTCCTGGACCAGGAACTTAAACTGATGACAAAAGGTACATAGGCCATCATAGTATGGTGCAATAGTTTTTTATCATGATAATATTTGATGTGTGCGCAAGTTAGAGTACACTCTTCATGGTATTTACTCTTAAAAAACAGGAACACAGGACTCACTGCTTGTCTCAGGAAACAGTCGAAGTCATATCCAGCATGGAAATCAACATTTCACATGGTAGGTAACATGCACGAGACATACTTAACTCAGTCCTGCATGATAATTGTGGTTGCTCAGGGCACTCAGCGTGTGTATAATCTCATCCTCAAGGTTGAATTGAAGTCCATGCATGGCTCAGAAGTCAGTGTCACACTGGTTAATTGATATTTTCCTGGGGCTTATTTTGCTAGTGCCAGTCCAGAGGTACACAGCAACCTTGGTGCCAGGAGTGAGTGCATGTTCCTTAAAACCACTGACAGCTGTAATATCTGTGTACAGTTAGATTGGAGTGTTTGTGAGGGAAAAGCACTCCCATGAATTTCTTTGAAATCTTAAAAAGAGCTTTTAATTTCCTTTAAAAATTCTTGGTTTTGATTTTTTTTTTAACTGGCTGACAAATAATCACACGGCAAAAAAGTAGAGCTTCTTGCTGCAGCGTTTGCTCCATGAGGCTGAATCAAGATTAATGAGCACTTCCTTCCAGCTCTGTAATCAATGACAGTTTGTAGCCTGTAGTGATGACCTTTCCTTTACTCTGGTGGCTCTTTACAGCCCCCTGAAGGCAGCGGCTATCAGTTCCATCTGTTGCAATTGAAGACATGCTGCACACTGTTAAACCACAATTATGCTTGGCAGATCTCCTCGTAAAAAATTTCAGCAGTAAACCGCAGACTGTTTTGAACCAAATTACCAAAAACCTTAAAGTTGTTTATATAATTGAATTAAATTAAACTTTTGACTGCAGTGTTAATCAACAGGTGTGTTGAGAGCAGATGGATTTTAAACTGTTGTAGAAATAATTAAAGGTAAACTGAAACTCGTTGTCTCAGTGTGATTACATGGTCAGAACTGAATGTTCTTATCAGGCCTTCTCAGCGACCCCCTCAAAAGTACAGATGCTGCAGGCGTCATTCTGCTCACAAGTGTCACCCAGGTATTCGTCAGACTCTGAAGTTTTAATTGCAGTATACATTCACTTGTTCCATGACAAGTATGATGTAATAAATATGTTTTAGCATCTATAGACAAACTTGATGAGTCGTTTGTGTGGCATCATCTTGAGTAGCGGCCATCACTGAGTCACTGCTGACTAAGGATGCAGGACTAAAAGTGTTACACAACTGCTCTTCATGACATGGTCATAACATTGTTAAAGTAATTATATGCTGGGTTCCAGTTACCTTGGAAGTTGGATGTTGGAGCTGGGAATGACGCTACACCTGAGTTGACGGTGTTCCACTAAATAGGTCAGAAAACCAAGATTGACGCCCACTTTTAGCCATTGCTTGCTGTTATTTACAATCGTTAGCTGTTGTTGGCTGTTGTCAGTAGTTGTTAGCGGTTGTCAGCTGTTGTTAGTTGTTGATACGTATACCAGTTGTAAACAACGCATAACACAGTATTTTACCATTACAAACACTATAGCATTGTGTTCACAGTTAGACGTTGGGCAGTACAACATATATCACTTATTTAATCTCACAAAAACAAAACAGAAGTACGCATTCATTGTTACTCTTTACTGTTGATGCACTGCGCTGCCATCTTGGATTATGACGTTGTCGTCAAGTCGGGGTTGGTGAGGATCATCCGACTTACCGAGTCAGAAATCTGACTTCAGGGGGTGTTCAAGATGAATTTCCAACTCGGAGCTCTGAAATTCCGATTTCCGAATACACCAGACAATAAAATAGTGTGTTGACACTCATCTAGACCTTTGCTTGTTTTTGAAAGGACATTGAGGCTTGTCCAATGCCGTCAAGATCACCACAACATAAAAATAAGCAATAAAAACGAACACAGGCGAGTACAAAAGATATCTATAAAAAGATACTGTTTAAAAAAAAACAAAGTTTCTAGAAATGATTGTCCTAATTCCTGCAAGTGAAGGGAAAACTAACATCTACAAAGTTTGTTGAAGGTTTTTACATTAGGGGCATGAAAGGAAAAAGCTGATTTACCAATTGCAGTGCAAGCCTTTGGGGACTTTATGCTAGTTTTCTCCTAAACAAGCATCAACACACAATGAGGAGGAGTTTCTGGCCATTGCAATAAATTTACAATCTAATAAAACCCATTTATAGTTCTTTGCAACCATTAATCTGTATCTGTCTGGCCATTTGGGACATTTGCATACTCCTGAAACATAGAATTTGTATGTAGGGAGCTGTTCAAATTCAGTCCCATTAAATTTTATGCACCTAATATACTTACTGCTTTTTACTAGTTTGGCCTTGTACCTCCTGGCTCTTCAATACTTATTCTTGTCTTTTTTGATCATGATCAGCATATAATTCATTGCCACCTCAGACCCTACACTGCTGCTATTCCAGTGGTCATGATGGGGGGTAATCCCTCTTTTTGTGCGTTTCATCAATCCCTCTCTTTGTCGCACACATAGAGTGTGTAATGGATCGTTAGCCAGCAGAACGACTTTCTCTCTGACAGCATGTTGGGTATCAGGCCTTAATGTGCCGCTATATGAGACAGGGAGCAAGTGTGACAATCTATTTTTCTTGTATGTGTGTGAGCTGTTGATGTTTCATGTGTGACTATATACGTACGTGTCGGGATAATCTGCACCAGAGGCCTTGTGCTGAGCAAAGCGCTGTGAATATCACATTGAGATGTGTAATAACCAGATTAACGCATACTACACAGAGAGGCTCCCAAAACAGCTCCTTACATCCTTCAGTATCCACACACATTCATACTCACACACACACACACACACAATATGCACATGTGAATGCATAGATGCACTTTGCTTGACTTGTTTGGCATAGTTGTACAGCTATTATTGAGATAAGATAAGAAGAACTTTAGTGATCCCCGAAGGGAACTTCAGTTGTCTACAGTCTCTCGTCTCATGTCGTCTACTACAGAAGAATTAAGAGTCTGGTGGCTGTGTGTACAAAACATCTTCTAAATCCGTCTGTCCTGCAGCAGAGTCAGAAGAGCCGTCAACCACCGTTAACCCTTTGGTCCATCAAGGTGTTATGTAGTGGATGATCCATGTTCTTTAGAATAGCCTCCACCTTCCTCAGTGTGCTCAGACGTCTTGCATCCTTGTGTTTTATACTACCACTTTCCCAACTGTATAAAACACAGTCAGAGGTTTGAAAGAGGATTAGGGCCACAAGAAGATTAAAAAAAAAATTACAGTAGGGGGATTTTTTTAACTATCATTTTGAGATTAAAGTCAAATTTTGAGATTAGAATCAAAATTTTAAAAAGTTGAAATCTCAACTTTATTCATGTCGACTTTAATGTCGAAATTTCAACTTCAATCTCAAAATTTTAAATTTTTTTTAATCTCGAAATTTCAACATTATTCATGACATTTTGTTATCTTGAAATTTTGATTTTATTGATATACTTTCAATTTTTTAATGTTAAAATTTTGACTTTAATTTTGAAATTTTGACTTTAATCTCCTTCCTGTAACCACTTTTTTTTTCTCTTCATGTGGCCCTAATCCTCTTCTGTACAGAGGACTGCAGCATAGAACAGAACATTTGCCACCACAGACTAATAAAACGTATGCAGCATCTTACTGCAGATGTCTATTGATCGGAGTCTTCTCAGGCAAAAGAGGAGGTTTGGATCTGTGGAAGTCTATGATCATTTCTTTTGTCTTTGAGATGTTGAGTAGGAGGCAGTTTTTGTCACTCCAGTCACTGAAGGCTCTTATCACACCCCTGTGTTCAGCTTCTTGTATATTTCTGATATCATGCCACGATAGCTGTGTTATCTAAGGATTTCTGGCTATGGCAGGACTCAGTGCTGTATTTGAAGTCTTATGTATACAGTGTGAACAGGAATGGCACCAGGACTGTCCCTTGTGGAGCCCCTGTACTGCTCATTAATGTCCCAGAAACACAGCTCCCCAGCCTGACAAACTGTGGCTTTCCTGTCAGGTAATCTGTGATCCAGGAAACACAGGAAGAATCCACTCTCATCTCTGTGAGCTTGTCTTTGAGTGTGATGAGTTTGATGGTGTTGAATGCACTTGAAAAGTCAAAGAACATGATCCTCGTATGAACCCCAGATGAGACAGGGCACGGTGAAGCATGGAGAGGACGGCATCATCCACTCCAAAGTGTTCTGTGTATGCAAACTGCAGGGAATCCAGTTTAATAATATCTGCACGTTTTCTCATGTCAGTTCTTCAACCTCTTCTTAAATCTTGGAAATTATTTCTTGATATGACAATATTTAGATCATTTAGTATCACTGTATGAGAAAACTACCATGTACATTTATGCCAGTGTTTACGTAAATTTAGAAATATGATGGAGATCTTTATAAGATTAAGTCTCTTTTCTGTCACACGGAGCAGTTTTTCATTTTTTATTTTTTTTTGTCCTGAATCAAGAACAATAAAAATAGATCTTGTTTTCTAGTTCTTCTAGTTTTTACACTTAGATTGCAAAAGAATCAACATGAATACTGCATTTTAATATATGGCAACTACACTTTATTCAAAATTCCCCTCATTTTGATACTGCTCTTAAGCAACAGGTTGACATACATCAATGAGAGTTGATGCATTATGTTGGAGAACTTTTAAATGTTTGCATTGATCAATTTCATTAAAATCTAAAGCATCATTAGGAAGGAGTGAATGTATAACACAGCCTAGCATGAAACAAGTAAAATGTTGTGCGCCAGTATGATGTGTGTGGGACTACTTTAACCGAGCCCATGTTTACCTCATGTCCGGACAACCATTTATCATCCGTCCTTCCTCTGGCTCAACAGCTTACAGTTGTCAGGTTGTACTTAAATGTAACCTCCATCTATCGGCTATCTTTGATGCGACCTTCACTGTGTGACAAGTGCACTGCAGCACCGATGAAAACACGGAAAATAGACTTTTCAGTATTTGTCTGTTCACGTTTGAAGCTTACAGTAACCGAATGAGAGCCTTGAAAGTTGGTTAAGAAAACGTCCTTCTCATCTCTGTCAACAAACTGCCCATCCCCAGTGTGACGATCACTGAATCAGGTAGTGATTATCAGACAGAAAGTATGTAACATATTATAATATCGCTGTTTTGAATCCTTGCAGCTATGAGAGGTTTAATACATACGTAGGTGCAGTGTGTGAAACTTGCTGCTTTCATTCAGATAAACATACAAATGCACACATGAGCCCACTCACCCACAGGACTGAACAGACTTTCCACCTCAGGCCTATGGCTGGCAATGATGAATAACAGAGAGGTTTGTTGTTACTGGTCCTGAACACAGCACTGTGCTCTTTTGGTGGCGGTTACGCTTGATGCTAGACACTCACACACACACACACACACACACACACACACGCACGCACACGCAAAAGCACAAGCAGCATAGTTTATAAAACTTAGTAACTTTCCAAGCACCAATTGGCATAAACTTGACAATAGCTGAAGGTTATATAAACCAAGGCTGAATACAACGGAATACCCTCTGTGACCACTTACGCTCATGCTGTATTTATTTATTTTATTTTATTTAACCAGGAAAACCTTATAAAGATTAAAATCTCTGTCCTGGCCAAAATTGTACATTAAAATATGGGCAAACTTTTTAAAAGCCTTTTTACAGGCAGAACTTCTCCATTTATCTTCTGAGTTTCTAGTTTCTATTCTTTGAATGTTCAAGTTTTCATCAGTTTTTATTCAGTGTTTTTAACTCGTAACACAAGTGTTGATCTATGCAGACGGTGGAAAGGTAAAGGACACTAAAATGCTTCTGAAATGTTTGTGTTTAAGACTCTTTTTTTTTTTTTTAAAGCTTTCATACCTGTGCTTTTACCATGGACTTGTGTGGACTTGGGTGCTGTGACTGATTGATGGATTTGGTCTTGCAGGGGCGGAGTCAGCGAGGAACAGACGGATGAGGAGGAGGCTGTACAGAGAGACCAGCAGAGTGTCCTGCTCCTACCCTGAGATTTTCAAACACGAATGCACATAAACACAATTTACAGTATGGCACATTAATAGACCTAGAGAATAAGAAAATTCATTGGAATACCACACATTATTTGTTAAGTTTTGGTTTAAAATACTTTGAAAAAATTGCTGGATATTGACTAGAATCTGTTTCGATCCATGTGGTTATGATTTTTATTGTATATATTCTTTATGCTTAGAGGGAAGACGCTTGTGAACATATCCTCTAAATTCAAATGTCAAAAGATGAAATGGGATGACCACATGAGAAAATTATTTAGCTCCAATACTCACCAGGAGTGTTTGAATTCCATCAATTGTCTTTGTCAGTGTGGTGAAGTTTTAACCAAAAGAGTTTTCAAGCACAATCTATCTGTCTGGTGTGATTCATTTGTTTTTTTCAAAAAAAGGTTAAAGTGGCACTGGACCAGGTCAAACTTTTAACAAACACATTCACACAGATGTAGGAGTCTGCCACAGGTGATGAATTATGTTAGTAAAGGAGGGAATAAGGATCTGTGCCAATGACTGCTGCTGCCATCTGTCTGTGTGTGTGCAGGAGGGGAGGAAGATAAACACCAAGCACTGGAACTGGTTTGCCATCTCAGTGGTGAATTTGTATGAGACCTGATGGCGTGTGAGTTGTTTTTTTTTTGTTTTTTTCAAGTCTGGCTTTTTTGCATTACTCGCCGCAGGTAGTCTAACTCCATCATGGCTGCCAGTCTCTTGGGCAGAGTTCACCATTCACTGCTTTAGCTGATGAGGGTGGATGTGTGGATCGAACAAGGACACCCAGAAGAAATACACTCCTCTGTTACACGACCGAATACAAATGCAAAATCAGGGAAAGAGTGGATGTCAAAGATGCCAACTTTGTGATTGAATTTCAGATTGAGGTTTATTTGCACTCTGCATGTGGTTATGTGTGGATATGAGTGTGGGTGCATGTGTGCCTACTCTTTACTCCAGCCACTGAGAGGGGGATATCGTGGTATTTTATTTGGTCTGACGTTAATCGCCACAAGCGGACAGCAAAAGCCCCGTAATCCAGCCGCAATCACCGCTGAACTGATTGATAGGACAGGTACAGAGAGAGAAAGAAAGAGAGACTGAGGGACAGACAAGTAAAGAAAGAGCTAAAAGGTAAGTCTTTGCTATTGTGTCCTTGAGTGAGTTTATCACTTAGTATTTAGGAGAGGAAAATAACTGACATAAATCTGATTGATACTGAAGTGACAGGCTGGTCTTAAACAACTCAGACCTGCTCTCTCTTTCCAGCTCTCATTTTTCCTCTCTTGCACACTCATGAGGAGAACGGAAACGAGAGCTGACCTTTGTTAGATTTCGAGTCGCCTGTGATGTTGTTGATGCTGTCGGAAGACAGTGAAACTGAAGGAGCTGACATTTAACTCCACTATATTAACTGACCCTTCTATAGAACTGGAGTTCATGGCGGGCGTGCTAGAAAACTGCAGGCTGACAGATATGTTGTGTGTTGATCTGGTTTTCTTTCGATGAATTTTCAATTGTCTCTTCAAGCATTGCTGTTACTTTTACTGTTTTATTTACTGTGTGTTTTTGTGGATTTTGGCATTTTGTTTGACAGCAAGTTGCACAATAGAAAACATTTTGCTCTGCCTCTAGCTGCACGCTGCATTGTTCATTGATGAAAAGGCTTTCATCTCCCCCAGGATATGTTGAAAGGACACCATGAATAGTGTCTTACAGGTCACCAACAGTGACCAGTGAAAGGACAGCATTCCCTTGATTCAACCAAGTTTCAGTAAAACACAAGCGACTGCACTTTACAGTAAACTTTCTCAGTCTTCACAAATATCTCCAGCTCATCACTTTTGTTGAGCAGAGAGTTGACGTTTCCTGTGATGACTGATCTTATATCTCCATTTCCAAGCCTTCAACTTTGCCTTTACCTCCGCGCCAGCACAGCAACCATGAAAACACCTCCAGATGTCCACCTGAACCAGATACCCTCGTCCAGATCCACTCTGTCTCAATGAAAGAAGCTCCTCTCCTGAAGGAACATCAGTAACACTTTGTTTGACGCCTGTCTCTATTAAGCATTATAAATATATGTATAATGGATTATAATTACATTACAGCACTATATAAATATGGTTATACACACTCATAAATGATCATAATGCTTTATAGCAATAATAATAACACATTACAAAGCTTTTTATCATGATTTACAAGGTCAGGTATTATCATGTGCCATAACAGTTGCATTGCATTATCCATGTGGGCGTTGTTAGTGATTATTATACATTAATAATGCATTACAGAGATAGGCGCTGTGTGAAGTGTTACTGAAACATCCGGCAGCAGTTGACAAAACACAACAAAAATATGAAAAAAGAGAGCAAGAACCAGACTTCACTGCTTCTTAGGTGAACGCAGGTTATGGAAAGTGATGCATCTGAAATTTAAAATTTGACGTTATTCCAGGAAGCGAGTAACAAAAGTAGTTTCTGTTTTAGCATTTAAAAATCACGATAACTTGTTTCATATTCTCTATAATTGAAAAAAGTAAACTATAAAGGGTGTCTGAGGAAACATGCCATGCTCCTTGCCCGCTGAACAGGCTTGAGACGGGATTGTTGGTGTCTGTGTTTGAGTGACAGCTGTTGTAATCCTACATGGGAACCAAAGGAAACTTGCCCTGCAGCCTAAACATAATGCCAAGTCAGTGACATAGACGATTAAGGACACCAGACTAAAGTGGCATTTAGAGGCGTTTTCTGTACTATGAGCTGCTAATTAGCCAAGTCATGCAGCCTGCGAACTGATGGTAGCAGTACAGAGAATGTGAGTAGCTGCTAATTTTCAAAGCTGTAAATCACATTTGAACTTGATGACACTGAGATTTCAGCATGAAAATTAATGCATGTTGAAATTCAGAACCTGAATTTGATTTCAGGCATTTTCCTGTCTATGACATTTTATTTAGCTTAATGGGATTTGATTCGCTCATTGAAACAAAATCTGAACTAATACAATCAGAATAACTTGGAGAAATAGGTGCTGTCATGCAACTTAAATCAAAAAACATAAAACCACTTCAATAAAGTTTCTCCCATTTGACTTTTACGCAGAGGAAAATTAGTCAATTTTCAGAGCTATTCTGTGGCAGACATAATATCTTATTTAATTCAGTTTGGCTTGGAGAGATCTCATTACAGACTCACATGAAAAACTCTGATTAATAGAGCATTTACAATAAGTAAAACATGACATTTGAGACTTTTGCATTCACACCATATTGACGTTATATGGTTATACGTTACTTTATTGATGTGTCTTGACCTCCAAATTTGATTTTGAGGTCTGTTCATGTCTACGTGCAAAGAATACTTATCTGATGAGACTCGTGTTGATCTTTGCTGCTCCATCAAAGCATGATTACCCTTTACCTTGAGAACATAGCAGGAGTGAAGCCTGCCCTGTACATTTTTTTTTATATATTACCCGATTCTTTTTACTATTATGCCTCTGCAAGTATGCCATCCACAGTATTCCCCCCCTCTGTTGTCAGGTTGGAGGCATATTCGCCTTGAATGTACCATCTCGTCACATCCCATGTTTTCAACTGGAGACCTGCTGTCTCATTACAGGAAAAGGAGAGTATGTGTTGTATGTCATCTTTGTCATAGAAAAAAGCCTCAAAGCCTCTTAGTTTGTGCAGACTCCTGTGTGTATCCACCTTTTTATTCCTATCACTGATGATACATGGCAGCACAGTGTAACTCTGGTAAGGACTGAATTCTGCAGATAGGGAAAGAAAATAATTGGGGGTTTTGTTTGTGGCTGTAAAGCTAGCTCAGATATCTTATGGGGCGCTCACACCAAACGAAAATAAAATCATCTACTTAATTCGCATGAATCTAGATGCATGAATGAAAAGTACTTACTCGCTTCATTTGCGCATCAACGGTAATTTCAATGGTAATCCCTGCCAAATCAACCGACAGGATCAAGTGATAGACAAAGGTTTTTTTACAATTTACCAGGTAATCCAAAATCAGGCAACTGGACTGTGTAGAGTTAAAATGATCATTTTAGAATTGAAGATGCCTCTTTGATAAGAGGTGAAACGTCTTCTCAACTCTACACAGTCCAGTTGCCTGATTTTGGAGTCTTCAAGAAAACCATGACCTGGATGAATGAGAATCTACATGGACAGGTAATCCAACCTTTTCACTCGCTTGCTACCAGGTGAGCTTCTTTTTATTCCATTTTGGAAATTGAAACAAAAAGTATCAGGGCACCACTGGTATCTGAAATGGAGGACACACCGACATGATCAGTTTGTCCTCCATTTCAGATACCAGTGAACAACCGTCCATTTTCATACGTCACCCGGCGACCTTAATGCTGATTAGTTGTTGCGGCAAGAATATCCGCTCAAGTTGAGACATTTTCAGCTCCCACCCAATTCGCGTCATTTGCGCCGCCAGAGTAGTAGGAGCACTTGGTGTGTGGAGACAGTTACAGCTCTGATAGATGGTTAAATTGATAGATACAAAAATAGAATTATCTCAAGCCAACAGAACAGCTTTATTTAACCAAACTCAAAGGACCGCTGTTTTGTAATAAACAATTTCCCTTTTGTTCTTACAACCATGTATCTGTGGCGTCCGCCCATGTTCCAGCCAACCCAGCCTTGGGTATTTCTCTCAAGGTTAAAGCCTTGTCTCTTCTCAAATGACCCCAAATGCTGAAGATGGAAGTGGAGTCTGCCCCGGATGGAGAAAGTTGTAATGGAGGGGAGGAGAGAGGGAGATGGAGTGAGAAAATACAAAGAACAGAGGAGGGAGGATAGGAATTAAAGAAAAGGGAATGGAGGACATGAAAGAAATGGGGTGGCACCAGGAGGGGAAAACGTTATCCAGGTTGATAAGGAAACATATGTCCCACTTTTTCCCTCCTGCCTCTCTTTTCACATTTACAGTCCTGTCCTCCCTCCTGCCAACAGTTTCTTCTGCCACCTTACCCATTTTCCCCTATATTTACTCCACGATTCCTCCCTCAACCATCTCTTCTTAACTTCACTTATTTAGTCCTCCCAGCTTTCTCCTTCACACCCTTTTTCCTCTCTCCCTCTCCTTCCTCCATTGCTGCGTTTCCATCTCCCCTGCTCTGCATTCCTTTCTCCTTTAATCCTTCTATTTGTCCCTTACTCCCTCCTGTTCAGCGGCAGGTCTCGGTACTCTGGTGAAGCCACCGGGACCTGCTGACAAATCGATACATCACTGTAATTGATTCTGTCGGGGCTCAAAGTGTTTAATGAGAGCCCTCCTCCTCCCCTTTGCACGTGGGCTTTGGTGCTGGCCAGTTTAAGGTTTAATGGAGCAGAGGCATCCATGTGCACCAAAGGGCTGTAGATGAGGGGTGAGAGAAATGGGCTGGTGGAGATGAAGCAGGTGATACGGGTGAAGCAGGTGAAGGGGTATAGGGGAGGAAGTCAAGCTCGGGGTGTTGAGGGTTAATCAAAGGAGTTTCTATGGTGATGGATTAGCCTGGCTTGGTGATTTTGACAAGTTAAGGCTTGATATAAGATGTCATGGGAGAAAGGAGCTGTGTTCCAGAAAGAATAAAAAGGTGTGGAGGTGTGTGCTGGTGTGCTGCAAACGCGACGACAACATTCAAACAGTTACGTGTCTACCTGGTTATCTATAACGTGTAGCAGCGCCAACGTCAGCACTGGGGCGTGGTGCGTGATGTGCCAGCGCGACCATTTAAACAGACAAAACAACACTACACGCATTGGAATAAATGGAATTAGAATGACGTTCGGTTTTAAAAACGAACTATTCATTAGCTGACTACACGGTAAACAGAGAACGGAATGGAGAGAGCAAAACTTGGACTCAACATACCGTACAGGGACAAGCTGAACAATGAAGAAAGAGAGCGTTACCTTAGCAAAATTGCGGACATTGCTTGACTCGACCCATATGAACACACTGTATGGTCCCCACTAAGGTTAGGGTGAGGGATAGGGTTAGGTTTAGAGTTATGGTTATGGTTAAGGGGTAAAGGTTAGGGTTAGGGATAGCTTGTGGGGGAAGTGGGGAACATCTTCCCCGGGGAACACAGAACCTAGGGAACATAGACAGTTCTGTTGACATTAGTACCTAGTTACTTCTTGGACAAAATAACAGTTTCATGTGTTTGGTAATAACTTACCTTTGTGAAAATGGCATGAACAAACACGGCTGTGCTTGGGTATGTTGTCGAAGGTTAGCTCTTTGCATCTTACGGCAGAGAGCCAAGCCATGTGACGTCTCTTCGTTAACTCTTCCATTTGCACTCTGTGTTCCATGTTGGAAAGCAGAAAAAACGTACTTTTCCCAAAACTTTCCCTCGACGTGCTCTCCTGTTATAGCACTTGTGAACGCAGCATCCTCCATTGTAAGTTAATAACTTAGTGCAAAAACGAACACGAAAGAATCACTGTTTACATGTCTCTCTATTAATGCTGATAATTCTTTCCTGCCAAAATGTTGGCGGCAAATGTTGACGTGGATAACCTGAACATTTAAAAGATCCTTTTTTTTTTTTTTTTTTATTCAAAAGAAAAGGGAGGATATGAGGAAAAATAGCACAGGGAGTTGAGATGAAAAGACAAATCTGTTTTTTCACCGAAAGAGCGCAGAAGGTGAGAGAGTGGAAGAGAGAGGAGGGAGAGTTTGTGATATAGTGTACCTAGAAGCATGAGGTTATGTTTTTGCATGAGAGAGAGAAAGAGAGAGAGAGTGTTGGGAATGAGGAATCGTATGGACAGTGAATCATTAATATCAGCAGTCTGTAAGACACTAATGAATGACACGGGAATATATCAGCTCATCGTTTGCTTCTCTCTTCTACCCTTCACCCCCTCCCCCCCACAACACACACACTCTCCCTCTCTCCCTCTTTCTGCTCTAGATTAGTTTTTCCTGGCTCTAATGAGAAACACCTGTTAGAACTCCTCGTTAGGCATCCCTTGTTCAGGTCCCATTAGACCTCTAGTCCCTCTCCTCTGCTCTGTGGTATCTTTGGATCAGTTGGAAAAAATATGCAATTTTCAGGAAGGCATTTTGCAGCTTTCAGACAACAGAAGGTACGGTTTGGGTTTGTCAGTTAAATATTAAGGGTAGAGAGAAAATAAATGTTAATGCTAAAAGAGTGAAGGCTATTGCATTAGCCCTGCAGCACAAGTAATTCTGTGTAAATGAATTGTGGTTAGGTTACATCTAAATCTTAATCTCATCCCAGAAATAATGCTGCATTCCAGTTGTACTCGGGAATCTGAATTTCCGAGCTCTGAGTCAGAAATTCATCTGGAACGACGGATTTCCGATTTGGAAAGTTGCTCACCAACCCCGACTTGACGACAACATCATTATCCAAGATGGCAGCGCAGTACGTCAACAGTAAAGAGTAACAGTGAAAGCTCTCATAATGTATTATTTATTAGCACTTCTGTTTTGTTTTTGTGAAATTAAATAAGTGGTATATGTTGTACTGCCCAATGTCTAACTGTGAAGACGGTGCTATGGTATTTGTAAGAGCACTATACTGTGTTTTGTGTTGTTTACAACTGGTATATCTAACAACAGTTGACAACCGGTAACAACAACTGACAGCGACAACGACTGCTGACAATTATTAAAAACAGCTAACTATGGCTAACACTAGGTTTCCATCTTGGTTTTCCGACTTGTTTACTGGAAAGTCGCCAACTCAGGTGTAGCGTCCTTCCAGCTCCGATATCTGACTTTCAGGGTAACTGGAACGCAGTGTAATTCCTGACAGATTTGTCTTTTGTTTTTTTAGTAACTTTAGTAACTTAACTGCCTTCCTGTACTCATCTGGTCAGAAGCCAAGTTTTTTTTATATTTGAAAGTAAAAAATTAAAGTAATTAATTAGGAAATTAAGAAAATGACACTTTAACAAGCCTCCATGACATTTCATTCATATGCACAATATATCATCTGCTGTGTGTCATACAGAAACATGCAAGCATCTGTTTTCTACCTTTCCATCGCTTGTTAAAAAAAGCTCACCGACAAATCCACAATGAAAGCTGCTCTCATAAAATGTTAGTCATTGAGAACAGCATGCAGTTAAAAAAACATTATGCAGTCTAGTTCAGTATGTATTTTTTGATGGGGCATGTCCTTAACTTTTGTAGTCAGAGCACATTAATATGCAAACAGCCTGCTGTCAAGGTAAGTCCTGCACACTTGCTGCACATGCAGTATTAAAGGAAAATATCTGTTTCGATACATTTACAGTCCAGTTTTGTCTCTTAAAGCATTTGTGAGGAGTTTTTAGCAGATTGAAAATTGACAGTGATGTCTTTGCATGACAAACAAAATCGAAAGAGGTCATTAGCAACACAGTTTTAGATTTTTACTGTGCAATTTTAAATGCCTGTTACTGTTGTGAGGGGGTTACTGCCACACACAACCTGTTTGTGTGTGTGTGTGTGTGTGTGTGTGTGTGTGTGTGTGTGTGTGTGTGTGTGTGTGTGTGTGTGTGTGTGTGTGTGTGTGTGCTGACTACTGTCTGTGGAACACTTAACTCAGGTAGGAGGTACAGAGTTCCTCTTTGTAAACATAACAGATATAAACACTTGTTTATCCTACTGTCAGTGAAGCTCATAAATGAGCAGATTGATCATGATGGACAGGAAAGAGAGTTTAGGGTCAAGTGATGCTGAATTTGCACTGAGATGCTGGTCGCCCTTTTTTGTCCGATTATGTATTTTTTTGCATTTTTATTGATATGTAATTGTTTTTCTACCAACTCTGGATGCATGAGTGAAATGTACTACATGTGCTGGATTTGTTTTCTGTGAAGCAGACCCCTCTGCCCAAGACAAATTTCTCCTGAGGGAGACTAATAAAGACACTTTGGGCTCTATTTTGGTGCTTCGCCGAAGACGTGCCGCAAGCGCAGAGTCAATCAGATCCGCCGCGCTGACAAGGCGTTCCCAAGCACATTTTGGTATTTTGGTGAGCCGCGCAGCCCGGCGTAAGTATCCCCCCTCCCTAACTCAGCTCCTCCCGGCAGCATAAATCATAGAAGGGGAGGAGAGAGTGCGTATAGGGGTTTAACACAGCCGAGACCTGTTTTCACCAATCACATAAGCTCCTCTCCTTGCCTTTAAATCCGCCACCGGCGAGGCGTATTACTATTTTCATGAAGTAGTCAAAGAGATCAAGAGATGTCTGAAGACAGCTATGCCACACGATGGCGACAGAGGGCAGCTGCTCAACAAGTGTCCTCCACACTCTCTCATCTGAGCACAGATAGATTTGGTGTGCGTAATGTTGGACCCACTGGTAAGACAAACACCCTTTTCCACAAAAAAGACACTCACATAAAGTTGCATATATTCAAACCTCACGTGACAAAGGTGGGTTTAGCGCACAGATCACAACATAAACTCCAAAAATGGCATTAAAATCGGAACCATCTGTGCGTAAATGACGCATCGCGCTCCGTGGCCTGGCTCTTTCTTTCATAGATGTTGGCATATAAAATAAAACTGAATATTATAATATCCGTATGTCGGCTTAAAGTAGATAACGCATCTGAGCACTGAAACAAATCATCTGTTCAGCCGCAGCAGCTGCAGCAAGACGGACAGAGGACACGGAGACGTGTCCAGGTCGAGCTGTGCGAGAAATAAGAGGAAGAAAGAAAAGGAGGGAGACACATTACATATCTTGTTAACTTCATCATGTGTGTTTATTTACTAGATATTTAATTTAATTTGATGCAGTTTCAGCTGTATTGATTCGGTCAGGTTGTGTGCCCAAACGCGTGCCAAACGCGTGCCAAACGCGCTCATCAGATCAGATATAGATCAGAATATATCTATATAGATGTAAATATATGTGCTGACTCAGATTAATAGTTGTTGATGATTATTTATTGCACTGAAATCTGCCTGACACTGTGGAAACCTGCCGGTGAGGCATCAGTGACGTATGTCGATACGCCGCCGGTCTACCAAAATACTACAAGACCAGCTGCGTTCCGCCTTGCGCTGAAAGCTGACCAGGTTTGAATCGGCGAGCTTTCAGCGCACGTTACACGCCGGTGGCGAGCACGAAAATGTCACTGCGCCAGCTGATTCTGTCAACACCTCCCCCTGCCACGCCACCACGCCCAGCTTGGCGGATCTCGGCTCGCCTCCGTGCGACTCAGTCCACGAAAATACCAAACTCGCCTTACGCTGGGCTCCGCCAGACGAAAATACAACTGCGCGGGGCTCGCCGCCCTCCGCCGCCTCACCGGCGCGAACGAAAATAGAGCCCTTTGACTTTGAACATACCCAGATGGGGGGATGGTTGAAGATGCAAATAGAAGTCACGCTGAAACTATTGGCAGCATGATTTCCCTTAAAAATGAGTTTCCTCACATTGTGTCACTGTGTCTTTTCACATCATGCCTCTTCCTCGACTCCTAAGCAGGTTGTTTGGGAGGGCTTTGTTTTTTCCTGGAGTAAAACCATGTCCATGTCCTTTTTGTAAAGTTAATCTAATCTTTAAGGGGGTTCTGCACCTAAATTTATGTCCTCTTGTTGACTTGACACTGATCTCTCTATAAACCATCTAGCTTAGGTTAGAGTAAGAACTAAGGCTAACACTGAGTTAGCTGCTGATGATAAGCAAACACCTTCAAAATGTCAACCCGTTGCTTTCCTGAAATACAGGAATCTCTTTGAAGTTAAGGGATTTAAAAGTCTTCATATTTTGTTTTATTTTTCTGTAGGAAACATACAAAAAAAAGGATGCAGTTGTTTAAGTGCTACAACTGAGTGAAATGTTCCATTGACATCAATACATAGGGATCCTGCTTCTAAACTGGTTCATTAACTTCCTCATGATGATAAATGCTGGACTATATAACATGATATATAACAAATCCATCAGCATGATACCAAAAAGAATTTTTTCCTTTGTCTTCATGTGTTCGTACATTCCTGTTTCCCATCCCTTCATTTTCATCTCCTCATTTGTTCATTGTTTTCTTCTCACTCTCCTTGCCTCTGTCTCCTCTGTACATGTGCGATCCACCATTAATCATCTTTATCACACTTTACTGCCCATTGCTGTTTTTGCCTCTCTGACTGTTGCTCTCACCTTCTGTCTCCGTCCTCACAGACCTTGTCTGTGTCTAATAAGTATGTGTATGACTGCCAATGAGGTGATTAATGGTGAGATGGTTTGTTTATGTGACACCCTACAAACCTCTGTTCTAACCAGAGAGATTTCTGCCTCACTCCTGTTGTACTGTTTATACATCTGATTCTTACAATACATTCCAACGAGGGCTGCCAAGCTAGTGCACTATGGTAGTTTGATGAATGTCTCAAGTCTTTTTTTTGATGGAGATAGGGTGATTATTTCTGTAAGGTGTGAACATGCCCAGAGTATTAAGTGTGTCAGAATTTGTGGTTGAGTGTTCATGTTCAGATCCTATTACTAGCATAACCGTTTCTACACAAACTTTGCGAGTCTTTTACAGAGGGCATGCAATTTTCTTCTTCTTCTTTGTCTTCTTCACTTCTTTCTACTTCAGCTAGCAGAAGGAACTTCACAGAAACTCAACTTATTAAGAAGTATTAACTTATCTTTAAGGGATCTAAGATATAAACAGGGAATATTGGAGAAGCTCATGCTGTTGCCTTATCTTTGGTGGTTATTAAAGCCCTGGAATTAAATTACTTGCTGTTCAGCTTTTTTGGAAAGCTTAGAAAGCCTGTCTCTCAAATCCACAGGGACATTTTTTTTCCCTTTAAACTCTTTCAAACTGTTTAGTGTACAGCTGGTGGCTATCCCAGTTTAAGGCAGGGTGCAAACTGGACAGATGTCTTTGTGGGTGGGATAACCAGAATACCAAGTGAGTGGGGTTTTTAAGCTTTGCTAAATAAAACAAAAACAAAAGAGTCTATGAGACAGGCAATAGTGACCTTGAAGTTATGACTCAGTGTTTAATCATATTTATTTTTTCATGCCATTTGTCGACTATTTTATCTCAATTATTCATGTCAACAGCTTCTGTGTCTTCAGGCTTGTCAAAATGGTACCTGCGTAGAGCTGGCCCCCTACCCAACGCAAAATTTCGGGGAAAATTGTCTGTTTCGTTTGTGCTCTAAAAATTTTTGTTTGTGCTGCTACGGTTTTAAGTTATTAAATATTGTTTTTGATTCATCCAGAGGTCAACCAGCCACCCATCTGTTCCAAATGGACCCGAAATGGTGCCGTTAGTTAGTGCTTTGTTTGTGCTGCTACAGTTTTTAAGTTATCGCACACTTTTATTTTCGGTGATGACGTCACTCAGCCCCCCTATTTACTCCAAATGGACCCAAAATGTTACCGTTTGTTTGGTCAAATTGGTGTATATTTGTTTGATGTACTTGTGTTTTTCTGTGTTTCCCGATCACTGCCTTTATATTTTTATGTTGTATTTAGCTAAAATTAAACTTTTGCATTTGTCTTGCCAAGGCATAAACATGCTGTAAATGTCAAGCTTAATAGAATAGGATACAGATTATCTTTTGTAATAATTAATTTTAAAATAATTTATTCATAAATCTAACAGCATGTTTATCTGATTCCATAGTCAGAAATAACTCCTTGGCAATGGATGCTAACTCGCCTACCTGGCTGACAAATTAACATCAAAGTATGTATCTCAATGCCAGGTCAATTAAAACATTGGCTGCTGCTTAATTGTAATAATTTACATCATTTGACGAGGTGAACAGAATATTATACAGCCAAGAATATTTATATCAAAATGTCTATTCTTAGTCAGCTTTTCTTCTTAGTGATTTGTAGGTGGGACACCTGTAAATATTAATGAGACAAATACCACAACTTTAATCATCGCCACAATGATTAGTGATCAAGAATAGTAATTAAAAAACTTTTTTTTTTTCATAGTGCCAACAGGCAGCAGTGAAACGTGCCCATTTCCGCATATTGTTTTGATATATGGCCTGATTTAAGATAATTATTCACCATTAACCACCTATTTTGACCAATCAGGATCCAGTATTTAACATGAGGGGGTGGGTGTTAAGTGTTTGTCAGACTGTCAGGGAAGAGTTTGTGTCCTCCTTTCATGGGTAACTGTAACTTTCCTTCCTTGAACGTACCTTGAAGCTGCTAAAAGAGTACTACATATGTTATGAAACAGCCTGAAATGAAGAGCAATGATATAAAAAGGCAAATTAAACCATTTACAGCAAGCTTTAAATTCCTAAACTGTCATTTTTAAAGCCTGTATGATTTTTTCCACAGCAAATATTCAGAGGGAGTGATGAATTTCACCCTGAAAAGACTAAAGGAGAATTTTTTTTGTCTGTTAACTTCACTTTCACCAGTATGAGACAAAATCAACACCAAGAGGGATTACCACTGTGTCCACGCAGAGTTTAAAGCTAAAACAAAGACAGAAAGTTCCTTACAGAAGCTTCAAAGAGGAAAAAAAAAGAGAGGGAAAATTAAAATGTCACATATGTAAAAAGAATACCTTATGTAAGTATTGAGTGTGAAAAAAAGTGTCACTAAACTTTGCCACATGAGTATAGATGGAATATATTTTTTCTCATAAACAAAAACATTAACATCTCCAAGTAATTCACTTCTCTGTTTTACTTCACTGCTCATCATTTAGACGACAGAAAAAGAAATGCTCACGTATTAAAACATGCAAATGAGACAAAGAAAATCTACGGTTAGTCTTTTAGTTTTTAGGCAACTGCTGATCCACCGGCTTCAAAACAGAACAGTGGGAATTCTCCTAAAGGCAGTCAAGAAGCTGCATGTTAACAAGAACACAGTTTCTAGCTGCATGAATGAATTCCAGTTAAAAGGCAAAAGGAGTTTGTGTTTCACTCCATGTTGAGCCTGTACGCAAGCAGCTGTGTGCCTTTGTGAGAAAACTGTGTAGAATAGAAAAATCGTGTCGCCGAAAGTGCACCTACAACTGGGTTTGTTGCAGCACTGTGTTAAGGCTAAACACATTTAAAG